GCAGGAAAAAAAAAAAAGGTTGGCAACAGTTGTTAGCTCAGGTGCCAATCTAAAAAAAAAAAAAAGTAAGTCTTTAAGCTAGACTTCAGATTTTGTCTGCCTTGTCATAATTACTGATGGACTGTAATTAACATCCTTGTATATAAATCTTTTGTGCACCCTCTGATATTTTCTTAAAGTAAATTCCCAGTAGTATACTTGATAAGGCAAAGAATGCAACCACCAAAAAGAACTTTTAATAAAAGAACTTCTAAATATCAATTTAATCAAAACTGTGATATGATTATATTAGGAGAATAAGAAGGGGGAAGAAAGAGGGAAGAAAAGGATGGTATAAGAGAGACAGAGCTCCATCATCTGTAGTAGGAAGTCATTGGTACACAAAATAAAAAAATTTTTAATTTGTATAAGGGTGTTATTTAGAAATAAGGAGGTGAAACAGCTAATAATGAAGAATAGTGCACAGGAATCCCGTGTAAGAAAATATGGCACAGGACACTGCTGTTTCTCATTATAAGTCTTGTTCTACTTGACATTTTTAACCACGCACTTATATTGGTTTGATAAAAATACAAAGTAAAAAAGATAAAATCAGCAGTATAATTATCAGATATAAAATATAACAGATACACAAGTTGGCTTAAGAGCCCACAATTCTCATAATTAGGTACGAAAAAATCCTTTTATGTATATACTATTGTCTATAAAGACCTTAAAATTTATAATTTTATGAATTCTTATTGACAACCCTCTGTAAACAAAGCACATGAGTAGTGCTGTGGAAGATATTAAGAAATACTCCATCTTTTTATTCTCTCCAGAGAAAATAAAATTATTGTCAACAGTAGAAATAGTCTCTCCATATGACTCAGCTATGGAATGTTAGAAAACTGCCTATGCAGAAAATCTTCAAATTTTCTCTCAAAAAATTTTAAAAATAGAGAAAAATTAAGATACCAATTCCTCAAGGTGAAGTCTAAGAGAGAGCAGTGAATTTTTCTTCAGAAAAACCCTTCCATTTTTCCATACCAGAGAACGTGCTATGGGCAGTCCTCACCAAAATATATGTCAGAAAATTGGAGAAATAAAAGGAAAATTAGGATAGTGGGAGGAAATGAAGGGTTAGAACCTTAAGTCTCAGGCAGCTTCCTCACAGAGCTTGCCATGCGTCCTTGATAAATGTTTACTTCCTCTTAGTTCACTTCATTGTAGGGACAGGAATTTTCTCAAACCTCAAAATACTAATACTTTCCAAAGAAATCATGATAATGGCAGCAGACCTGAATTATTCCCCCTCTTTATACAACTGATTTGCAGGTACCTGTATAGCAAATGATGAATCAGATGAGTCTCCACTGCCAAGAGTTGTTACGCCTCTGTCACCATCATATTATCCCCAGCTACTACACGAAATGGAGCTATTAGACCCAGACTCCTGTCTCTTGCTCCCTCTTCACACCCTCTTTCTGCCCTCTTCCCGTCTCCACTCCACATTCTCCTTTCCTTGCTTTGCCTCACTCTCTACTTCTCTCCTTCCTCAAAGCTCATTTCAGGATGGTCCCCCCTCTCTCTCTCCCGCCACTTTCCCACCCTCACCCCGTCCACATCAAAGAACTCAAGTGAGGAAGGAGAAAATTTCCTGTTCTTCCTCTGCTTCCCTTCATGAAAAATCAGACATTTTACATTTAGGAACTAGAAGCTTGGTAATGAAGACATCTAACAAAATGCCAGCTAACACTTTAAGTATAATGCAGACTAAACCATTTGTAAGTTTATCAAAATTTCACGAACAATTTTCCCTTTGCATTTGGGTGCATTTGGGTGCAATACCCCTACATCCTTTGGGTATATTTATTTTGATTTTCAGTGGCAAACTAAATGTATAATTGTGTTCTCCATTTCTACGTTTATTATGCTCCCTTTAAAATGTTTTGTCTAATGACCATTACGTAACTTCAGCATTCACTCGCATAGCGCTTCCTTCCCCAACCTTTACCTCAATCTGCCTCCCTCCCAAATAGTGGGTATTTGGAAGGGAAAGGTTAATGTCCCTCTCCTTGTCCAAGCCTCTGTACTATCAACGGGGTCTCTGTGCCAAAGAGTAAACAATATAGTGTTCATTCCTTGGGAGACGCTACATCCAAATATCACGTTGAGTAAAGTCCAAGTGCTCATAGTACATAAGTCTTTGAACTCTGAAAAATGCAGCTGAGAATCCCAACAAGTCTGGCTTTTGGAATGGACATTTCATCTTCCCGTCAGAATGGAGATATTATAAGAAGAGCCTGGAAGGAGAGGATGAAATTAGTCTAGCTGATGAAGGGGAGAGGACGCCAGAAATAGCTGGCTAAAAAGTAATACGTCAAGTATTTAGATCGTACATGCAAATCTTTACAATCTAAATTTCAAAAAATTATGTTCAAAGTTATTCTTGAAATATAGTTAATCCCCAAAATACCACCTGAAAATAGTCATATAAATTAGGATGGCGCCCACAGGTCTAGGGCTAAGGCAAAAGCTGTTGCCAATATATGTTGGTGCCCCAAACTGCCAAACAGACTTGGTACCTAAGTACATAAGTAGCATAACAATGGGGTCAAACTGCTCCCGCTCACATGGTGTTCCGAATTCCTCTTTTGCAGTATCATGGGCTAATGAATTCATAACCAATGAAAAAACTTGTTAGAAGCCCACTACATGCTAGGCTTTATGGTAGGGAATTTAGGGCACTTCTCTGCCCTACGTCATAGACAAAATACCAAAATTCTAAATAAAGACAGGATTAGTAAGGCCTCAGGCTCCATGTGGCTCAGCATGGCGCTATTACTATCTTTGCTTAAAATTTTGACATTTTGTCCATCATGGATTTTTCACATCTATATTCATTTTTTAATATTGCATTAAAATGTTATTTAATCTCAATTACTGAGTTTTTCAACATCCCTTTAAATTTTGCACCTTAGGCAAGGGCCATACTCTCCTCATCTAGTCCTGGCCCTGATCAGAGTTGACAGTCCACGCAAGGAGTTGGGAAACTTTTTCTGAAAAGGGCCAGATAGTAAATATTTTAGGCACTGTGAGCCGTGTGGTCTCTGTTGCAGCCACTCAACTCTGCCGTTGTAGAGCTAACACACCACAGACAATACTTAAACAAATGAGTGTGGCCATGTTCCAATAAAACTTTATTTACAAAATCAGGCTGCAGACCCACAGGCTGCAGTTTGCCAAACCCTGCTCTACACTAAATCCTCATTTAGTTGTCAGTGCTAGAGAGTAAAGTAATTCTCATTAATAATTGTCTCTAAATAGATAAAGCTTGCCCTTTAAGAGTCAATGATTCTTATTTAACCAGTTTTGATCAAAATTTTTCTAAAATGAACTAAATACATTACTGCTTCCCTTTAAAAAAAATTGGGTTTTAATACAAAAAGTTTTTTAAAGAAAATTAAAAGCACCCACAATCACACTAACAATAACCACTTACAATTTGGTGAATTGTCTTCAAGTCTTTTTAACACACATTTTAATAAAGAAAAGCGGATCAGGCAGGATAGGCCTGATTATGCTGTGCTAACAAATTAACCCCTAAATCCCAGTGGCCTAACTCAATCAAGCCTTATTGCTCACTCATTCTACCTGTCCATCACACGTCGGCAGGGGCTTTAGTCCATCGAGAACTCAGGCTGATTAGGAAACCCCACCATCCTACAGCAGCATCTGGATCACATGACCTTTTCCGTCACCTTGGGAGATGAAGCAACAGCTGGAGGGTCTCACACCAATTCTTTTCTGCTTTAGCCCAGAAGTAACACACGCAACTTCTGCCCATAGCCTACTGACTAGAACTAGTTCCGTAATTAGAGGTGGAAGGATGGAAATGTCAAGGAGATAAAATGGAATGTTTGGTGACCACCACCCTTCTCGTCACATTGAAAATCACAAACACCATATATAATTATCATAAGCGCTTCCCCACATCATTAAATCTCTTCACAAACATACAGATATAACCCTCTGTTATTTATTGTTTCCTTATTATAAATATTGCTCTGTGCCAGGCATTTTCCTCAGTACTTCATGTTCATTTTCTCATTGAATTCTTACAACTAGTCTATGAGGAGGATACAATAGTATACCCATTTTACGGTTCTGAAAATAGAGGCCTAGTGAGCTTAAGCTAATTTTTCAAGGCCACACAGCTGGTAAGTGGCATATCTGGGACTCATACATGGGACTGTCAGACTTTAAAGCCAGTGCTCTTAACCAATGAGTGTGAACTAAGGAACTGCAGTCAAAGTATGAAACACAACACTGCTGCACTGGGTTATCGACCAGAAGTGCATCCTCACAGGAGTGCAAAAGGATGCATCAGACCAAGAGGACCTGTTGTTACCAGCAGCTTGTGGACAACAGAAACAATGACAGATGAAAAATGGAACCCAACAGAAGACTGACAAAATTCTCCAATTGTTTCTCTTTCTTTTTCTGTGAGGTGTCTGGAAAGATGACTGGCCTCTTTGAACTCACTGAGGTCCCTGGATTCTTAGTCCCTTTTGGAGGGAGGGGGAACCCTAAAGCTGTAATGGACTCCTGCTACTTTGGAAATTTGGAGTTTAGTAAGGTTTCAATTGAAAAAACCCTAAGAGTAGTAAACATAAGAATCTTCTTTAAGAAACTTAACTATATCTAATCTATCTTTATAATATGTGTTCTCTACTGAACGCAAGGATTGACGTGTACAGGTTTCTCTCGTGCGTAGTCTTCAGTATTTTTCATATATTCATGTCTTATTGTAATTCTGCAGATTGTAGGACTCACTGTATCATTACATATCTGAAAATTCTTAATGACTAAGGGATTTATAGTTAAAAAGCACTAACAATACAGTCATTTAAATATTGTCACCCAATTGTGTTTTAAGATGGCAAACTAAACCACATACCAAATTTAGGTATGCTGTCTTAGTCTGTTTGGGCAGCTATAACAAAAATACCATAGACTGGGTGGCTAAAACAACAAACATTTATTTCTCACAATTCTGGAGGCTGAGAAGTCCAAGAAGAAGGCACGCTGGCAGATTTGCTGACTGGTGGGGGCCAGCTTCCTGGTTCACAGCCAGCCATCTTCTCATGTATCCTGTCACGGTGGAAAGACAGCAAGCGAGCTCCCTGGGGTCCCTCAATAAGGGCATTAATCCTATTCATGAGGGCTCCATCCTCATGACCTAATTACCTCCCAAAGGCCCCACCTCCTCATTCCATCACATTGGAGCTTACAATTTCAACACGTGAGTTTGAGGGAGACAGGAACATTTAGTCCGTGACACATGCCACGTTTTGTTTTAGTAATAAGTCCATTCTCAGAGTTATTATGGAGCAGACAGACACATGAGAAATTTCTAATGGCCAAGTTTTGTTTCTTTAAAAGGTGTTACTAGTTTCCTGGGGCTGCAGTAACAAATTACCACAAACTTGAATGGCTTCAAACAACAGTTCTGGAGGTTAGAAGTCCAAAATCAAGGTGTCAGCAGGACCATGAGCACTCTGAAGGCTCTAGGCAAGACTCTTTCCTTGCTTCTTCCTAGTGTCTAGTGGTTGCTGGCAATCCTTGGCATTCCATGGCTTGTAGGTGCATCACTCCTATTTCTGCTTCCACTGTCACACAGCATTCTTCCTGTCTCTGTGCCCAAATCTCCCTCTTTGTATAAGGACACCAGTCATTGGACTAGACCCCATCCTAATTCAAGATGACCTCATCTTAAATTGATTACATCTGCAAAGTCTCTCTTTCTAAATAAGGTCACATTCACAAGTACATGGGGTTAGGAATTCAACATATGTTTTGGGGGGACAAAATTCAAACCACAGCAGAGGGCACAAATATGTCTTCATAACTTCCTTGGTGGTGTAGGTGAAGACAGCAGAAAGAAAAGAATCACTCTCCACCAACTCTAATGGAAGGCTCTGTGTTGAATCTTGATAAATTTTTACCAATAGACCTACATTCAAATAACTCTATAATAGTGTTAAACACATAGAGTTTCAACTCTTGAGTGGGTTTTTGAGAGCAAAACTGGGTACATATACTCCATATATAACATTGTTTACGAATTAACCAATAAAAAGGGCTCCAAGTTCAAACAAAGTACCTTACAAACAAAATTTGGCCACCAACCCATTTGAAAGTTAGAAACTGCTTCAAATTTTGACCAGTACTCATTTTTCTCTCTTTTTTCCAAGGACTCTGTTATTTGACATATACTATTTGTAAATGCTATTGGAACTTACAATAATCCCTGACCTAAATGGTTAGCAACCAATATTAACAGATGATGATGATGATGATGATGATGATGATACTTATGATGCTGCTGACAACAGTAGCAATACATCTAAACAGACATTCCCAATAATGCACTAGCCTTCTGTTTTTATCAATAAGAAGTAAACTTTTAATAACAGGAGTCATGGGGGCATGACCATTTTACATTTAGAAGGGTCACTCTGGCTGTAGAGTGGAAGATGGACAGAAGGGAGCAACACGACAGGAAGGCAGACCAATTAGGGGGCTTTTAAAGTGAAAGACGATGTGACCCAGACTATGACGGCAGTGGGGGTGAAAAAAGAAATGGAAAAATTGTGAGATACTTGTAGGCAGAGTCTGCAGGAATTTGTGATTCCTTAGATGTGTGGGATAAAGGAGAGACAGGAATCAAAGACGGCTCCCAATTTGTCATAATATGGAACTTGTGTATATTTTGAGTATTTTGTAGATACTGAATAAAGGTGAGCCCCTTTTTTTAAAAAAAAAGAAGTAAACTTTTAAAAGTAGATAACTGCCTTCAAGTATTTATTATTTCTTACATAATGAGTATAGATAGAGATCTGGAGCTTACGTTAAAAATAAAAAAATTAACCAAAGCTCAAAATAAATATATTCAGTTGGGAACAATAGTCTTCTAACAATGTAGCCTTTAGCAGAGCACCTTGGAGTGATGAATCATTGTACTTGATGATCTTAAACAAGTTTACACATAATTACAGAGGCATGGAAGTTAGGGGGCTGGTATTGTTGTTTTACGCAGAAACCTAGCACCACACATCTAATAAACATTCAAAGGTTTATATCTGTATTATGTAAGAATTACAACAACCTGAACAGAAAAAACTCTCTAGTCAAACTGTAAAATGATTTTTCACTTCTGTTTCTGAGTCATTTATTGCAAGTAGCAAAGCCAAAAATAAAAGCACACAATCAGGAAAGTTATCAAGCTAATTCTGAATTATAGATAGAGAGAGAGAGAGAGAGAGAGATGGATAGCTAGATAGATAGGCAATAGATATTTTGTCTTAAGTACATACATACACACTTATAATTTGAGAAATTTTTGCAAGGAATATCCACAAATATATTGTGATATTGTATTTATTTCTAGCTTTTCAACTGTATTATTAATACTTAAGATTTTTAGAGACCAAATTTTATTTCAAACTATCTAGCAGAGGAATCTTTGGAATTATATGTTATTTAATACATACTATTCCTTTCTTCTAAAATTAAAATCTTGAACAGGATTCCTGTCTCCCAAAGCTCTGCCTTCTTATTGCTATTCCCCGATGCCCATTAGGCACAACTTTGCTTGACTCTGCCATCTGGTTGTCCCTTTTCAAGCTAAATACTGGAATCCTTACTACTTCAAGCCTTTTATTCTCCAGTCTCTAACCCTGGTTCCCAACCCTACTGCTTCTCTGTTGGGATTTGACACTATTGAGGCCTGATCCCCTCAGCCTCAACTGGTCACTCTTCCAATCAAATAAAAGTGCTGAGTAAGCCCTTAAAAAAGGAGGGGAAAAATACCTCTCCTTTACCAGATCGAATGTAACTGAATATATCTGAACTTACGAAATGATGCTTCAGCTGCCTCCAGCCCTCTTATTACTTGCTTCCCCTCCTTTCTGGCCATTTCTTTACCAGAGTCTAGGAGCCCAATCACAGCTCCATCTCCAGGGGCTGGGAACCATTCTTCCCGGGTTGCTTGGACACTACTGCTCATCCCGATGTCATTAGGCTATGCAACAGGTTCTATCTGTCTCCTCCATCCTGTCCAGAACCTATGAAAGAAACCTGTGATATCTAGATAGTTTTAAAACCTCTCTTCTCCATGAATCCTAGGAAATAGCCCAAGCTCCAGAAATATGTGCCTATTTCTCCTTAAATCCCTGAACACTCAAGCAGCAATCTCTCAACTACCAATTCTGTCTGATTCCTAAACTCCATAAAAACCTGCCACTTGCCACAGAAACCTTCTGTTGCTTTTCCTGTAACCTCAGCAAATCTGCAAGCACTGACTCCAATAAAACATCCTTCCCTCCACAGAAGCCATGAATCAAGCCTCATCCAGATTTCCTAACCCACTGGGAGTGATATTCCTGCCTCTGTCTGGTATTCTGCCTCTTTAACTAGAATAAAAGAGGAGGTACCATGGTTTGGTCAGTTGGTCAAGTCCAGAAAAATAAGCGCACGCCATGCTAGGAACTTAAGGAAGCTCAGACAAATTTAAGAAATAATCAACTAAGTTTTGATGTTCTACTCAGTAGCAATAAATAGAGTGACTGCGTTTCTTTGGATCCCTTAGTTGTAAGAGAACAAGAATCCAAATGGAAGTAGAAATTGGCTAGGAGGCCAAATCCCAAGAAAGACATGATAGTCCTGGTGTCCGTCCTCCCCCTGCAACCCCCACCCCCAGCATGCTCTAATAGTTACAAAACTCAGATGCAGTATCACTGAGCAAGCAGGACCTTTGCCCAGAGACCAGCATACTCAAATGGACAAGGTCACTTGTAAACAACATGTAGAGAATGAGTCTGATTAAAGTACTCTAAAAAGATTTGAGGCAGCTTCATATTGAAAACAAATACCCTCTAAATACAGTCCTATGTGTAGATGGATATATTGTTGTTAAAGTGAAGAAATAAAATCCATTAGTGAAATGAAGCAAGAGGAATCTTTACCAGTTTCTGCCATGTTCAGTCTCACAGTTCTGCCACATGACTTGGCGTGATAAACGAGGCTGATAATGGAAGAATTATATCCACCACCAGGCATTATATTTATGAGCTTGATGCAAAGGCAACTTTTCTCACTTGGAAAATTAAATTTGCTGAATTAACTGCTACCAGCCCAGTTGGAATGATAGTGTAGAAGGGCATTACTTATAAGAACAAATATGACATAATAACAACTAATGGCTCTACAAATGATATAGAAGCAGATTTTCTTCTTTAATTCACCTCTCCCTGCTAATGAAACTGAACGTAATATGCATTGTTTCTTGTCAACATCACTGGTGTTGAACTTTGGTCATATGTGGAAAAACTAATATTTATAAATAAATTCAAATGACTTATAGCATCACTTGATAATTACATTCCGAAAATCCTGAGTTTATACTAACATGGGATAACCATGACACCCAAAAGAGATGCCTTAGGTAAATACACAGCCAGAAGCTCGGTATCCACATTTTCATACCCAAAAGCACTATGAGGCAAAAATCTCTGTGATAGTCTTGAAATCAATAACAGAATTCACACATAAATAGGGCTTATTATACATAAGTTTAACATATGATAAAGAAAGATCACCAATTAGTGAAGAGAATACACAATAAATGATGCTGTGATAAATTTGTATCTGTATCTCATGAACAAATTTCAGATGAATAACAGAGTTATATGCAAAAATTGAACTTTATAATGCCTAGAGGAAAATATAAAGAATTATACTTAAAAAATGTACATTGGAAAGACATCATAGAAGTCAACTTAAAAGTCATAAAAGAGTTTTAAAAGTAAGATTGGTACATCTTTTAAAAAAATTTTTATTGTGGTAAAATATACATAACAAAATTTACCATTTAACCATTTTTAAGTGTACAATTCAGCAGAATTAAGTACATTCACAATGTTATGCAACCATCAACACTATTTCCAGAATTTTTTCATCATCCCAAACAGAAACTCCACCCAATAAGCAATAACGCCCCCTTCTCCTCTCCCCCGAGCCCCTGGTAAGCTCTAGTCTACTTTTTCTCTCTATGAATTTGCCAATTCTACCAACCTTATATACGTGGGATCATATTAACCGTCCTTTGTGTCTGGCTTATTTCACTTCAACATAATGTTTTCTAGGTTCATCCACGTTGTAGCATGTGTCAGAATTTCATTCCTTTTTATAGCTAAATAACATTCTCCATCGTATGCATATGTCACATTTTGTTTATCTATTCATCTGTTGATGAGCACTTGGGCTGTTTCCACCTCTTGGCTATGTAAATAATGCTGCTATGAACTTTAGTGTACACATGCCTGTTCGAGTCCCTGTTTTTAATTATTTCCAGTACACATCTAGGAGAGGAATTGCTGGATCATATGGTAATTCTATGTTTAACTTTTTGAGGAGCCACCAAACCATTTTCCACCATGATCTCATGGCTACCTGTTAAATCTCTGCATTATCTGCCCCCTTAATTTAATTTTTTACTTTTTTTAATGTTTCAATGTATCTTTTTTCCAATTTTTTTTCAATTGTTTTATTGTGGTAAAATACACATGACATAAAATTTATTATCTTAACCATTTTTAAGTACACAGTTCAGTGGTATTAAGTACATTCATATTATTGTGCAACTATCACCACCATTCATCTCCAGAACTCTTTTCGTCTTGCAAAACTAAAACTCTGTCCTCATTAAACAATAACTTGCCATGACCTCCTGCCCCAGCCCTTGGCAACCACTATTTTACCTTCTTTTCTCATTTTTTTATCTCTCCTTCCCCCTTCCACCCCAGCCTCTGGTAACTACCATCCTACTCTCTGTTACTATGAGATCAGTTTTTTGTGCTTGTTTGTTTGTTTTTTAGATTCCACATATAAGTGAGATCATGCAATATTTGTCTGTCTGTGTCTGGCTTATTTCACTTAGCATGATGTCCTCTAGGTTCATGCATATTGTCACAAATGACAGGATTTCCTTCTTTCTTAAGGCTGCATAGTATTCCATTCTATATATATCACATTTTCTTTATCCATTCATCAGTCAACGAACATTTAGGTCATTTCCATATCTTGGCTATTGTGCGCAGTGCCGCAATGAACATGGGAGTACAGGTACCTCTTCAAGATCCTGATTTCATTTCCTTTGGTTATATTCCCAGAAGTGGGATTGCTGGGTCATATGGTAGTTCTATTTCTAATTTTTTGAGGAACTTCCATACTGTTTTTCAGAGTGGCTGCACCAATTTACCTTCCCACCAACAGTGCATAAGGGTTCCCTTTTCTCCATGCAGTCGCCAACACTTGTTATCTTTTGACTTTTTGAAAAGAGCCATCCTAACAGCTGTGAGGTGATATCTCATTGTGATTTTGATTTGCATTTCCCTGATGATTAGTGACATTGAGCACTTTTTCATGTACCTGTTGGCCATTTGTATGTCTTCTTGGGAAAAATGTCTATTCAGGTCCTTAGACCATTTTGTAATGATTACTTGGTTTTTTCACTATTGAGTTGTAAGAGTTCCTTATATATTTTGGGTAATAACCCCTTATCAGATATATGGTTTGCAAATATTTTCTCCCATTCCACAGGTTGCCTTTTCATTTTGTTGATTCCATATACCCTAAAAGTGCAAAATCAAAAATTAAAAGATAAATACAAATGGAGAAAAATACAGCAAATACGACTGATGAACAGTGACTATATCAAGAACATGCACAGATTAATAAGAAAACCCCTAAAATTACCATAAATAAATTACAAATGGCATGAGTAGATAATTCACAAAAGGAGAAATGCAAACAGCTAACATATATGGGGTTATATGTTAAGTCTCACTTACTATCCAAAAGTAAAAATCTGAGCAAGATTATTTTTTGTCTATCCAACTGGCAATAATTTTTTTAAATGCTCAATTCTACTTCACCCCTACCAGAGTTAGTAGAAAAGCAAATAACAGAGGAAATGAGACCTGCTGATCATAAGGAAAAAACATTTAAGGATCCCTCTGGCAAAAGGAGAAATGCCATAGGGAATGACAGTCTCTCACACCACGAGCAGCACTGCTCTCCGAGAGCTCTCAGGATTGTAGATTGTTCCAGTCTACAATCCCAGGCCGCCTGCCCTCTGAGAGGTGTTCTGGACTTGATCTTTCAAATCCATAACTACCAAGCTCTATCCTTGCTGTGCTATGCCTAATTTGCAGTTATCTACATTCTGACCTTAATCTCAGGTCAGAGATTATATCTCCCAGCCTTTTAGATGGAGTCCCTCACCTTTGCTGTCTGTTCTGAACTTGACTCCTTTTCCTGCTAACATGATATAGTATACTAAACCTCTTTATATCTAGTAGAATTCCCAGTCTTAGTCTGCCCAGCCCAATCTGATGTGTTTTTATTCAAATCTTAGTGGAATCATATAATCATACAGATAATATGGCATTCTCCATACCATAAAGATAATAAAAGTAGCTAACCTTATTGTCTACTTCCTGTGATCCAGGCATCATGTTAAATGCTTCAACTGAGTCCTCACAACCCTCTGAGATGAGTAGGTAGTAGTATTCTTATTTTGCCAGTGAGGAAGATGTTAAGGGAAGATGTCTCACACAGCTGCTGATTCTAGCCAAGTCGATTTGACTCCAGCACACACCCTGCTGCCTCCCTGGGCTTTTCTAACATAGCACATGTCTTGAAGACAACAATTTGACTTACAGAATAGATCCTTAATATAATAAACAACGTAAATATAAAGTCCTACTGCATTTACAGCATCTAGCCAGGGAAATCAAATATTTCCTGGGAAACAAGTCAGCACTGAAATAAACAGAGCCTTATATTATTTTTTATAAACCATTATTTTCTATGGCTTTTCTAGGAATATGAACTGACAGATACAAAAACAAAAGCCAAAAAACCACCACCTATCCAATAACACTGAAAGGCTGACAGGAAAACACAGTCATATATAAAACCAGACATTAGCACGCCAGGATGTTGAGTTTCCTCCTGTGAAGAAAAGGATATGTGGCACCTCCACCCCAGTTTCATGACACAAGGTATGGAATAAAACTTCAGTGGTTTCCATCAGTCCACAGAAAGGACTACAAAACCGAGGAGGAACAAAGACAAAAAGGGCTATCCAGAGAGCAAGGACAAATGAGGTGACACCCTAACAGAGAGAAGACTGGAGGTATGACCATGGCACGGCTGCCCCTCTCTCAGGAAGTCCTCACTGACAGAGTGAGCCAGGTTGACCCAAACAAGAAACCATCATACAGAGTCAATTACATGAGCAGAGGCTGCCAGAAGCAGACAGAACTAGAGTGAGCTGAGTAAGACCATGGGCACCTTCCCACAACTGGCAGGTGATCAGGTGTGTAAGGCTATCGTTACCTCCTCTATCCAAGTGCCCCTGCGCCAGGTCCTAGATGATCTACATGCAGAGAGAGAAGGGGAGGAGACATCTCAGAAGCAGTCTCTATCTATCTATCTCTCTATCATCTCTCAATCTCTCAATCTCTCTCTCTCTCTCTCTCTTTCTCACCCTCCCACTTTGAGCAGTGGATTAGAGGAAGAGTTTTAAATTGGATACGATACTGGATTGGACAAACCATATTGGACTGAGCTTTACTCACCAAGTGATCAGGATATTTTGAAACTTAAGATGCCATTAAAGGAACGGAAAAGAAGATTCTGCAGAGTTTAGTTGAAAGAAGTGGCCCGGAAAAAAGTAAAAGTGCTTAATATCTCAACTGAGTTGTCAATGGATAGATTACATTATATTATACTAAAATAGAAGAATTCTTGTCAGAACCTTACCAAAAGTAACCTATTTTAGAGGACAGTGTTCAAGGACGACTGAGGTGCCCTCAAGTTTTCTAACCTTCTTGTTTGGGGAAAAAAAAGAATCATTTAATACACTTTCCCTTGCACGGCATTCTATCACTAGAAATCAGGACACCACAAGTTAAAAAATAAAATAAAACCAAAGACATTAGTCACATTTATGCACGTCAGATAAAGCTGCAATGGGACCTACAGCCCCTTCTCTGTGAGTCATCACTGTGCTGCAGACAGCCGTGACCCCGTGTCTCCAGGAGGACCCGTCACACAGCTCTGCCGTGCAGATGAGTCATAAGAAACCTGGCCAACCATACTTCACATCCTCAAACCACCTCCCCGGGAGCTGGCCATTTTCTTTCCACTCACCCTTATTGTTTCGTTTCCCTCATATTTCTTTCCAGAAGCCACCCTTAACTGAATTAGTATAGCAAGAATATCCTACCCGCTGCCCTACAGAAAGGACAAGAAGACTTTGAAACATCACTGCAACTACAAAATGATTCTACTAGATGATTCCCACTTACAAAAGTAAAATAGATTTTTTTTCCTCCACCAGAAAACGGTCCAGATTCTCAACAGTCTCCAGACTCAGTTTGGTACCATAATTGCCATAAATAAATTTCTTACGCACTAAAACCAGTTTTGCCCTTTTCCCAGGAGGCTTTTGTAAAGCTCAACATAAATTCAGCTATCTCATATGATGCAATTGTGATTTAGGAAAAGCCAAGACCATCATCAATACACAGTTCCATCCACCCACACCAACAGCCCAATCTAACTGCCGCCAAGTCCCCAAACCCTGAAACTCCCACCCACAAGCTGCCAAACCCTCTGGGTGCCCTATCACTGGCAGATGCTACGATGCTCTGTCAGTGAAAGGTTTGTGAGAAACTGAAAAGTGTACAAAATCAAACAGAATGCAAAGACATTTTTACTAAATTCAGTATTTCAGGATTCTGGAATACTTAATGCTTAAGAATTCAGAGAAATTTGGGGATCCATAGCCCTGTGTTTCTCTATTTGGCCAATTTCAAAAGGGCTACCACCTGCCTACCCCAAAAGGAATCAGAGATGGCAGTCTGCAAAGACTTTGAACTTGCCCTGTGAAAAGCATCGTATACACACAACTCTGTAAAGGCAAAATATTTCAATCACGGTAAGACTCGTGGGTGCCATGGTCATTATCCCCATGTTGAAGCAATGCAATGAACACTCACAAGGGGAGCGAAGTTCTTCCTCTAAGGAGGAAGCCATATTCCACTGTCATTTACATGCACTGCACTGAACTGTGTCCAAAGACACTGATTTAGCGACACAGTGAGCTGAAATGCTCTAACCACAGTCAGGTTATTCCTAAAGAGCTCACTAAGGACTAAGGTCCTTCACCAAATCAGAGAATTTTTGCTTCAGTCCGGAAAGCAAGCCTGGTACGGTGAGGCCCTCATCTTCCATTTGAGAAAATGGAGGCCCAAGAGTTTTAAAGACTTACGTGTGTCAGACACCTCAGCCAGCAAAATGACTAAAATCCAGACTTCTTGATGCCTAGCCCTGTGCTCTTTGCACTCTCTTTTCTGGTCCCCAGCCTCATACAAACCCGCTGTTCCCACAAACTCTTTCCCCATCCAAGTCTCCCCTCTATGCTATTACCCACATAGTCAAAATCCCCAAAACTGTTTCTCTAACTGCTGGATCTGAACCTCTTTCCTGATTCTTTATTCAATGCCTCCTGGATAGCACTGCCTTCTCCAGAGGACAGGGTCCCCAAAGCTTGGCCTTCTTCCCAATCACTACCTCCTGACTCAGGTTTCACACCACCCAGCCCAGGCTTCTCTTCTCTGATTCCTGAGCCCCAGGCCTCCTTCAATCAGCTCTTACCCTGAGGCCATATGTACTGCAGTAATATATCAGCTTTCTATCGCATCAGTATTCTATTGTGCTCTAACAAATTACCACAAAGGCAGTGGCTTAAAGCAACACAAACCTATTATTTCACACTTCTGTGGGCCAGACATCTGACATGGGTCTCACTGGACTAAAAATCAAGGTGTACTCCCTTCTGAAAGCTTTGGAGAAAGTTCATTTACTTGCCTTTTCCAGCTTCTAGAGGCCACCTGGTTTCATCGACTCATGGCCCCTTGCTCCATCTTCAAAGCCAGCGGTATGGCATCTCTCTGATCCTACTTCCATCCTCACATCTCTTTCTCTGACTCTCCCTCCTCTGCCTCCCTCTTCTAGTTTTAAGCACTGTTGTGATTACATCGGGCCCACCTGAACAACCAAAGATACCCTCCTTATTTTAAGGTCAGTTGACTAACAACCTGAATTCCATCTGTACCTTAATCACCTTTGCCATATAACCTAACGTACTCACAGGTTCTGGGGATGAGGACATAGACATCTTTGGAGGGCTGTCAATCCTTCCTCTTCCCTTCAGCATCCTCTCTTTATCCCTTGACACCCTACACCCTGATCTAGAGAAGAATGGATTCTAGATTGACTGAATCCCCAAATGACCACTGGGCACATCTCACCCCACATATCCCAGTGGTCACTTGGGGATTCTCTCCTCAGAGATCTGGGAGGGACACTGGCCAGGCAACTCCACAGCCCTGTCTGCACAGAGCTAGGGAGGGCTGAGCCTAGAAACAGAGAAGAGAAATGTGGGACCTGGAGTGGAACCCAAGGACCCAGAAAGCACGCACAGTGTTATTGCTAGGGCTGGCCTGGCGCTGATCGAACACCATAAACACAAGGCCACTGAACATGTGGGTTAAGTCTTCAACAGAAAATTCCTTCGGAAAGATTTCATAGTCAAAATTATGAAAAGCCACTGCATTGTCAGGTAATCTACATTTTGGCATATAAAAAAAAAGCCCGAGGGGCTGGCTCAGTGGCGTAGTGGTTAAGTTCACATGTTCTGCTTCATCGGCAGTGGGTTCACGGGTTCGAATCCTGGGTGCAGACCTATGCACTGCTCATCAAGCCATGCTGTGGCGGCATCCCACATACAAAACAACAACAAAAAAAAATGAAGAAGATTGCCACAGATGTTAGCTTAGCAACAATCTTCCTCAAGCAAAAAAAAAAAGAGAGAGAGAAGAATGGCAACAGTTGTTAGTGCAGGGTCAATCTTCCCCATCAGAAAGAAAAAAAAAAGCCCCAACTCAGACAACTGAAGAAGATGTTATGGAATCAGCCCTAGAGAGTCCTATCATCCACCTTGTAAAGAGTTACTTTTTAAAAAAGTTTTGAAATAATTACAGATTCACAGGAAGTTGCAAAGATACAACAGAAAGGTCCCATGTACCCTTCACCCAGTTTCCCCCAATGGTTGTATCTTACATAACATACAAAACCAGAAAACTGACATTTGCCCATGAGTGTATAGTTCTATGCCATAAAACATAACTAGACAAGTGTAGATGTCTACATCCACCACTCAGTCAGAATCCTACAAAGATGGCGGCAGCACTCCAAGAAACTTATGGACTCACCTTCTGCCAACAGGCCTGGATTGGATGGCCTCTAAGAATAGAAGGATGCAGTGAAGCAGAGAACTTGACGACAGCCTACATCAGCAGCGTGAAACCACAGGGAACTCTCAGTCCTTGAGGCACACCTGCTGAAATGAGGAAATGCTCTTGAAATCTTTTAATATGGTTTTCCTCAGTGTACGGGAACTGTCTTAAAACTTCGACGACACCAGCCATTTCAGAGAAGAAAGACAGGAGACCTGACTGAAAGACCATCCCAGGGTCTCACTGCTCTCCATCCTAGGCAAGAACACAAGAAAGGTCCTCTGAAGCGGCCCCACAAAGGATCACAATTGTTAGACCTACCATGGCCCTTAGAGACACGCCAGTTTGGTCCAATCCTTCTATTTACGGATGAGGAAACGAACACTGGGGGATGGGGAAGGACTAACTAGCACACAGCTAGTTAGTGGTTGTGCCTTCTATCTCCCAAACTGGCACATTTTCTAGCAGCCACATTATCTGCCTTCAAATATATGCTCCTGAAATTTCAACATGATTTTAAGAAAGGGAATAACACGATCAGATGAGTATTTGGAATAAATCTGAGTGGGGCAGAAGTGGATGGGAGACCGAAAGAGGCTATTGGAATATACTGACGAATATATATCATGGTGGCTTCAACTAAAGTGCTGGGAATAAAATTGAAAAGCAGCAAAAGGATTCGTGATATATTTCAGAAGTAGAGTCAGAATCAGCTGAACTCTGTTGTCTGGGTCATCAGTAACAAATTTCTACATCATCCAGGGAAGCCTAAGGATCCAGACTATGACCATGAAACAGACTAAAGGTTAGTAACCTGTACGGCTGTTACCTGAAGGTTGGTCGCCGTCATTATTAGGACCCACCAACAGCTACTTAGTTCAGACAGTTCCACTATCTTGGCAAGCACCACCTACTTGTTTCACATATTTATAGACCCAGCTTCCCCTACACACTTACATAGTCTCCTGCCTAGAAAAATGACGCACAAACTGTGCCCAGGGATTAGGTTCAACAGTCCACTCGGGCTTGGGGTACTGCTGTCCCTGTCTATATCAGCTCTGCCTTATCTGGCTGTAAGTTCTTCTACTTGCAGGTTCAAGTCAGCCCAGATTTAGTGGCACGTTAAGAGCTTCCTACCCTGTGTGCCCAAAAAGGTGAAGCAACGGCACCCCTGACACTGGTGGAAACATCAAATGAAACCTGAACCATCTAAGCACCCAGCCTGTGGCTGGTTCACGAGTCTACCCCTTCTACCCAAGATGCCCTGGTTCCTTGAAGGAGCTGGAATCCTAACCAGTTAGCCAGGGGGACCTGACCTTTTGCCTAATGTCTGTAGCCCTTTCCTGAGACTGGCTTTCCACCCCCCTCACTCTGTCCCCGTCACTCCTCCCAGGCTTGCAACACAGACACACACGGACACCAAGAACAACTGGTGACCTGAAGACCTGCTATTGCTCTCTGCACGTTTCTCTTGGATTGGACGCTAGAACAGATGAGAGCTGGTTTTACCCCATTCCCCCTGGCTTAATTTTAGTCTTTCCATAGGGGAAGGTCAGTCTTATTTGTTTACTTTATAGCGGTAGAGGGGAAAAAAGAATGGGCAACTCTGAGGCCCTGCTAACTGAAATGTAAATTAATGCAACCACTTTGAAATTTGGCAAAGTTTTGAAAAGTTAAAGATGCGCGGATCCTGTATCCTACTCCTACATATATGCCCAAGAGAAATGGATGATATGTCCACTAAAAAGTGACACAAGATTTTCAGAGCCACTTTATTCCTAATGACAAAAACTGTAAATAACCCAAATGTCTAACAAAAGAAAGTACAAACAAATTGTGGTATAGTCATAGAATGGAATATTACCCAGCAATGTAAGGGAAACTTACTAGTATATACCACAATAGGAACGAATCTCAGAAATATTATGTTGAGCAAAATAATCCAGACCCAAATGTCCATCTGTATGATTCCATTTCAAGAAGTTTCAGAACAGACAAAAACAAATCTAAACTAAGTCAAAATAGTGGTAATCTCTGGAGGGACAAGGGGAGTGGGGCTATTGACTGGAAGCAGACATGAACTTTCTAGGGTGATGGAAATATTCTATGTTTTGATCCAGGTGGTGGTCACTGGGTCTATAGGTATGTGAAAAGTCATCAAGTGGTACACTTAAAATGCGTGTACTTTACTGTATCTAAATTACACCTCAAAAAGTATAAAAATAAAAACTAACAACATTAATAAAGATAAGGAAAAGGAGTAAATAAAATCATTCACTTCCCACCACTCAGATGTAACTATTGTTAAGCACTTTCTGTAGCCATGTATTGTTTTAATTTACAAATCATGCTGCTTTTTAAATCAGTTATTTTCTATGGAACATATTTATCATGTAGTTGTTTTTCTAAGAAGTGATCTTCAAATTTTTTAGCAGCAGAAACCTTTCCTGAAACAAACTCTCAATAAGCAAATACTGCTCCGGTTGAAGCATATTTAGGTCATGCTCTGCCTGCTAGTCCTCCTTTTTGTCCACCTCTGGCAGCCTCTGAGCCATCTTACTTGTACCCCAGCAGTCTGGAATCACTGTCTTCTTTCATTTGTAATGACTGCACCACAGTTCATAAATGACCCACAGTTTATTTAACTCTGATGATGACAAAAATATCGACACCCGAGTATTCACAGCTGCTTCTCCTTTAGACCCACCAAGGAAATTCTGCAGTGATCTAGTGACCCCATTCACTCACCCTACCCTGATCCCTCAAAAGATTGTTGTGTCCGACTCAGCAATAAGGCCTTCTTAAGGTAGATAGGTGCCTGAAGCCAAAAAGACTTGTGAGGTCTTACAATGGAAAGGGAGAAAATTATCAGCTGGAAAACAGATCCAGGAAAGGGAAAATTGGGGAGGAAGAAGAGAAAGCTGGGTCCAAGAAAGAATATGAAAGAAATTTTGGACAAAGAGGTAATACAGCCAATCAGAAGCAGCTGCAGAGGAAAGGAAAGATATTGGAAGTTAGAGGAAATGGACATTGTGTAGAGCAATGGGAGCGGGAAAGCTCCAAACTGCTTTTTCTAAGATAACTAGTGCCCCACTCAATGCTATTTTTTTAAATAATACAGCAGTTTTCCCACTGATTGAAAATGAATTTATAACTTCATTATATGCTAATATGTTATATGCACTTGTGACTGTTTCTAGACTGTTGATTTATTCTTGTGACCTGCCTATTTCTGAACCCGTTCTATGCAGAACAAATTATCACAGCTTCACAACGTGTTTTAATGACCTTACAGGGCAAGTCTCCCTTCATTAGGTTTTAAAATATTTTTCTTAGATATTTTTGAATGTTTGTAATTCCATCTAAACTTTAGAGTCATTTTGTCAAATTCCCAAAACTTGTCATTGGGATTTTTCTTAAAATTTATAGAGTGATTTAGAGGAAATTTGCATTTTATAATTTTGAGTCTTTTCATCCAGAAATATGGTCTTTCCACTTATTCAAGTCTTCTCTTGTCGCTCAAGAAGTTTGTTGCTTTCTTCATATTTCTTGCTAAATTAATTCCTAGGTCTCTACTTTTACATTACAATTGTGAAAGGGATCTTTTTTATCCATTATGTTTTCTAGCTGGTTTGTGTTGGTTTGTATTGGCTCATATATGCCTGTGAAACCAATATGCATATATGTGTATACATATATATAAATATGTGTATATATGATATAATATGTATATATGTATGTGTATGGGCACACACACACTAACCAGATAGCCTACCAAAAATTCTATTAGCTCTAAAAGTTTTTCATTTGATTCACTTATATTTTCTAAGTATTTTCTAGGCAATGGTAATTTTGTCTGTTCCTTTCCAATATTTATACTTACTTTTCCCTGTTTAAAACAATGGCTAAGAACCCCCATGGTAATGTTAAATATTTTCAGTGATATTTTGCACCTTTAATGGACTGTTTCTAAGGTTCCTCATTAAGTAAGTTTATTCTTGGGTTTTCATGAATTCACTGCAGTAGGTTAAGGAAATCTCCTTCTCATCCTCTCTCACTAAGAGTTTTAAATCAACAATGGGTGGCAAATTGTATTAAATGCCTTTCTGGCATCATGTTGGTTCCTCTTTTAGCCTATTTAATGTAATGAATTACATTAATAAATTTCATGTTGAACTATCCACAAATTCCTGAAATAAGCCCTACACTACATGGTTTTGGTATGTTTAACATAGTACAAAATCAATTTCCTATATTCCTATAGAATATTTAAATCGATTTTCATATGTGTGATTGATAGAGTTGTGTGTGTACTACTAGTTTTGTCAGGTTTAGGTATCAGAATTATGTCTGCTTCAAAAAAAATGAATTGAAAAGATTTCTGTCTATTTCTAATATCCAAAATATTTACTTAACAAAAGAAATATCTATTCCTTGAACATTTCCAGGAATTACTCATAAAATCATCAAAGTCCGATGCTTTCTGGGTGGAATAGGTCTTTGACAATCTTTACAATTCCTTGTAAGAGTCCTGATATAAGCAAGTCTTCTTTCATTAATTTTAGAAACTAGATTGTTTTTTCCTTGGAAAATCATCCATTTTACTATGACTTTCAGATCCATTAGCTTGAAGATGAGTGTCACATTCACTTGTGATTTCCTATCTCCCTCCTCTCTGAGCTTTCAGACCTATTTCCAATCCTACTCTTGTGTTGGTTTTCCTTTCTTCTTCCTTGACTGCCCTTAATTAGAGGTTTTGCTTGTTTTTTCTCAACATACTAAATGGATTTATCATTCCACTCTCCTTATGTTGACCAATTCTGTAATTTCTGCATTTAACTTTGTTAGTTTCTATCTCTGACAGCCTTAGTTGTATTCATTGTTCTATTTCTAATTTCTTCAATTCTCCATTTTCATATTTAATCTGAAATATGTGTTTAAGGCAAAAAATATGCTCTAAGTACTGCTTTGGCCATACCCTTAAGTATTTAGGAATAGTTTTCATCATCATTAATGTATACATTTTCTCTTTGCCCCAAAAAGTGATTTAGGAGAGTGTCTTTTAAATTATACAAGAGTTTAGATTTTTTTTTTTTTGCTTTAATCAATTTCAAATTTTTAAGATATTTTAGTCAGAGACTGTGGTCTATTCATTTTCTGCTTTTGGAAATTAAAGTTTTCTATCTGGTCCACTATGTAATCACATTCTATAAATGTTTTCTATCTGGTCCACTATGTAATCACATTCTATAAATGTTTTCTATCTGGTCCACTATGTAATCACATTCTATAAATGTTTAATGTGGACATTAAGAAACAATGCATATTGTCGCTTCATAGGGCATACAGTTTAATATATAACTAATTTTTCTCATTTAAGTTTCATATATCTTCATTTCTTTATCCACTTATCCTCCACTTAATTCTGCCAATTACTGAGTTGCACATTGTGGTCATCTCAAATTCCCCTTGTTTCAAAATATTTTGGTTTATATATTTCAGTGCTGTATCGTCCAGATATGAACATTTTTATGAATTCTACCTTTTATCAATACAAAACGCATTACTTTTGTTTTAATGTTTCACGTAATGCTTTTGCCTTGAAATCTATGTCTGATAATATTACCACACATCTGTTTGTTCTCTACTATAATTTTTGCCCAACTTTGTATTTTTAGCCCCCTAGTTCATTGTTATAATGGCATTCAGTTAAGTGTTGGTTTGGTTTTTATAGAAGTAAAATATACATACAATGAAATGCCTAACCTTAAGTGTACAATTCAATGAGTTTTGATAAATGTATACACCCATGTAACCACCATCCCAGTCAAAATATCAAACATTTCCATCACTCCAGAAAGTTACCATACACCCCCACAGGCAACCACCGGTTTTTTTTATTTTTTTTCTCCCCAAAGCCCCCCAGTAGATAGTTGTATATTTTAGTTGTAGGTCCTTCTAGTTCTGCTGTGTGGGATGCCACCTCAGCATGGCCTGATGAGTGGTCCTACATCCACTCCCAGGATCCCAACCAGCGAAACCCTGGGCCGCCAAAGCAGGGCGCACGACCTTAGCCACTCAGCCATGGGGCCAGCCCCACAACCAATGTCCTTATTTCTATCAACATAAATTTTGCCCCTTCTAGAATTTTATATTATCATTCAGTATTTGTTTCTGGCTTATTTCACTCAACATGTTTTGGGGATTTGCTCTTATTGCTGTGTATATCAGTAGCTCATTCTTTTTTCTTGCTGAGTACTATTCTTTTATATGAATTATACCATAATTTATCCTTCCGTGGAGAGATATTTGGGTTCTTTCCAATTTGGGGCCAGTATAATAAAGCTGCTGTGAACATTCTCATGCATGGCCTTTTGTGGGCATATGTTTTCACTTCTTTTGGATAAATACCTAGAAATAGAATTTCTGGGCTCCAGCATAGATGATTCATTTTATGAGAAACTGTCAAATATTTCTCCAAAGTGATTGTATAATTTTATACTCCCACCAGCAGTTTCTCCACATCCTCACCAACAGTTGGTGTTGTCTATCTTTTTAATTTTAGCCATTCTAATTGGTATGAAATGGTATCTCATTGTAATTTTAATTTGCATTTCCCCCAAAGACTAACGGTATTGAACAATTATGTAGATGCTCTTCATCAGGTTAAAGAAATTTCTATATCTGATATGCTGAATCAAGAATTACTGAATTTTGTGAAATGCTTTTTCTGCACTTATTGAGAAGATCATTTAGTTTTTTTTATTCTTTATTATGTTAATATATGAAATACACTAATTTGAGATTAAACAATTTTGTACTCCTGGAATACACCCCATTTGATCCTGATGTATTAACCTTTTTATATATTGCTGGGTTCAACCTGCTAATGTTTGGTGAAGAATTTCTGTCTCTGTCTCAGTCAGTTCGGGCTGCTATAACACAATGCCACAGACTGGGTGACTTCAAACAACAAACGTTTATTCCTCACAGTTCTGGAGGCGATCAGTCCCAGACCAAGGCACTGGTGGACTCAGCGTCCCACGAGGACCCTCTTCCAGGTTCACTGCTGACTTCTCCATCACACTGGGGGTTAAGATTTCAATACACGGACTTCAGAGGGACACAAACAGTCAGTCTATTGCAGCGTCTATGATCATAAGGAATACTGATCAGCAATTTTTTTGAAATATTTTTCTCACATTTTGCTATCTGAGTAATGCTCACCTCATAAAATGAGTTAGGAAAGGTTCCCTCTTTCTCTATTTCTGAATGTGTTTAACATTCATATTATTTCTTCTTTAAATGTTTCATAGTATCCACCAGAGAGAACATCTGGACCTGTAGTTTTCTTCACAGGAGGTTACTTATCACAAATTCAAAATTTTAAACAGCCATAGGGCTATTCAGATTTTCTATTCCAGCTTGTATTAGCTTTAGTAAGTTGTGTTTTAAAGGAATTTGAAAACATCTAATTTGTTGAATTTATTGGCATAAAAATTCCATGATATTCCTTTATTATTCTTTTAATGTCAGTATGATCTATAGTGATATTCCTCTTTCATTCCTAATGTTGCTAATTTCTGTTTTCTCTCCTGATCAATCACAGTAGGGGTTCATCAATTTTATTATACTTTTCAAAGGACAAACTTTTGGCTTTGTTAATTTTCTCTATTGTCTTTTTTCTATTTGGCTGATTTCTGTCTTACCTTATCTGATTGCTTTGGATTTAATTTGGTCTTCTTTTTCTAATTTCTTAAGAAGGTTTGGAGACAGAGCAGGCAGTGAACAAGATGTATATGCGAAGCACACCAAATTCAAGCCTGGGTATCACTTTCACTTGAAATCTTGGAGACTGCCTCCAGGTTGCACACAGACACACACACACCCCCACTTGGAAACCCAAGTGCACACACGCACACAGGGGTTGCTTGGGCTTTAGCAGCAGATGTCCTTCATCTTTGGACACACGCCGAGTGTCTCTGCATGCTGCAGTACACTGTGCGAGATCCAGGGCCAAGCAAAGTGCTGAAGGGCCAGGCTCACTGCTTTGAACAGTCTGCATGGTCTACTGCCGCATCATCACGGCCCAGACTAAACACGAGCCTAGACTTTCAGACGAGCATAACGTCCTCAAGTTTAAGCCTCTTTTTCACATTTCTAAAGGTTTTCCTAGGAAACCAGTGAAAGGAGGGTTGTCTCAGAATCATTATCTACATAAATTTGAGATCTTATAGATACCAGAATTATGAAGGTTATTTATTCTAGACCATGGGCCCCAGATATCTATAGCTATAATTTTGAGGTTTTACCACCCTGATCAACAAGTGATGTCAACCAATTCAAACTAATTAAAAATTCTAAAAAGTTATTAAAGTTGGTGGGAGAAAAGCTGTATGGGAGGGTTGAGGTAGGACGTAAATGGAGGAGAAGATTACCACAATTTCAAACATAACTGACGATGTAAGCAAGGGGTTCAGAAACTGGAAACTAAGAGAATGAGGTCTGCTGCCCTCCCGGGTGGAAATCTGTAGAAGCCAGTGACTTCCAAGATTCTCACCCTAGAAAATCAGCTGAAACAACGAACTTGGGTTTTCTGGACATCTTCTACTTCCTTCAGATTATTTTCTCCCCACCCCTTTCTAAAAGTAAGTATTATGTCTCCTATGACTTATTAATTTCCTTTATGGACTCAAATCTGTGGAACCTTTTCCATTGCAAAGTCAAGAGATTGCAAAAGAACTTGAAAAATAACAGATACCATGAGACAGACCCACCTCCCACCTGGAGATCTCCCGCATTTGTGAGACATCCATTCAGTTCCTTTACCACCAGAGCTAAAATCAGAGTAATCGAATAAATCTAGAAGTTGTGGGAGCTCTAATGTGGCAGTGGAGGTGAAGGTGGGGCCCACTTGCTACGAACAGTCTGCTCTCACAAAAAATTTAAAGCAAGGCAATATTTTTGCACACTTTTCTGTAATTGAATATCATTAAGGTACTAAATAGATAATGCACCTTGCCTTTCTTTTTTTTCAAAAACTATTTATTGAATGCCTACTATATACCAGGAATTGTGCAAGAGATAAAGGGATAAAATGGTGATCAAAGAAAAAGAGCAAAGAAAGCTAAAAGACAGTCGAGTGGAAAGAGTAGGAATGGAAAAGAAAAAGCGGATTGCTGGTGGGCTCCTTTATTGCCAAAGTCTTTGTATGTTTTGGGGTCCTTGAGTCAGGAAAAAAAGTAGTTATGCTGGATCCCTCTGACATGTATGGCAAGGAGTGTGTGTGTGTGTGCATGCATGCACGTGTGTGTGGTGTGTTTTGGAGAAGATGAGAGAGCATAAGGAGAATACCTCAATTTCTGTCCAATAGAAGTGGGAGGATGGAATCACTGATGTTCCAGAAGCTAAGAAAGGAAAAATGTAAATTATTTTCTTTACGCATGTGGTTTGCACAACATCCTCCAACATAAGACTCCCACTTGGGTCCTAAAGTTGGAAAAATCTAGGGAGTACGGAGAAAGAGAACAGAGCAACAAGACGACACAGTATACCAGGTGTCAGCGCTAGCACATCAACTCCGAAAGGGAGACCTTTGCAAGACATTCTCCAGGTTCACTAGCCATGTGCATTACGAATCTGGAATTAATGCTATTTACCTAAATTATAAAGACGTATTTCTCACATAAGTCCCTTATGTGCAAGCAGGGTAGCAAAGGAAGAGTTCTTTATATGGGGGTAACTTGAAGAGCCCCTAAGAATTTCCTACCCCAAATAGTTCACTGAAATTCTTCATTTTGTTTCGCTCTTTGGAACCTGTCTTTAATTATCTCCCTATGACCACAGAAGCAGTTATAACACAGTACAGTAATTAAAGATTCTGAAATCAGATTGCTTTGTTCACCCTGGGCTTCACCACTAGTCACTCCTGTGATTATTGGGTATGCTTCTTACTAACAGCTAAGAATTACATTTATTGAGCATGTAATCACTTAGCAACTATAGGCACAAGCATTTTACATGTATTGGCAGGTATCATTAATCCTCACAATACCCCCATGAGGTATGACGTAGGTATCATGATCATGATGTCATCTTACGGATGAGGAAACTGAGGCACATATGGAACTTTCAGGTCCAAAAGTAATAAGAGGTGGAGCTGAAATTCAAACCTAAACAGACTTAACTATTATACTACAGGCCCCTCACTTAAACGCTCTAAGCCACCATACCTTCCTCAGAGAGTAGTTGTAAGGATAAGCTAAGATAATGCTTGTAGATTTGATGGAGTGCAGAAAGTGTTCAACACTATTACGACTGTTACTACTGCAGATAAATCAATTCTTAAAAAAAAACGAGCAGTACCCACCAACTCCAGTTCAATTTTACTGAACCTCTAGTAAGTATTAAGCTCTGTATGAAGTGCTAAGGTGATACAGTGATGTGTAAGACTTGATTCCTGCCATCAAGAAACTCACAGAATGCAAGGCTTACTTACAGTGCTCCCCTACATAAAATCCTGTAAGCGCTCTGCATTGCTTTCAGGAAGCTCAAATCCCCAGCTTGGGACAAAAGGTCCATCACAATTCCAACCCTTCTTTCTTCTCTGGCCTCATCTCTTGCCACTTCCCCCTCCACAGTCCAGCATGAACTGAGCTATTATCATTCCTCAGACATGCAAGACATTTCACATCTCCATGACCTACAATGCACGGGTTCCATCAGTCTGCAAAATTCCCTTCCCACCCTCTGTTTCTCCAACTTCAATATTCAACTCAGATCCTTCTGGAATTCCCCATCCCCTGCAGGATGAGATGCTCCTTCTCTATGCTCCCACAGAACCCTGCACATACCTGTTGTACCTATCACATGGCACTGAAACTGTTCTGCTTATTTGCCACCTCTGCTTTCTGTAAGCTTCTTGAGGACAGACTGCCTTAGTGGTCTCTTATCCTAGCTCCCAGAACAACACATGCAGTGTAGACACTCAATGAGTATGTACAGAGTAAATGAACAAATTAATGAACAGCCTGTAATCAGTACTTAAATGGAGGTATCAGAACTGAATGGAAGAAGGAGTAAAGAGTGGAATTGACTGGGAGGGTCTAGGATGACTTCTTTGGGGAGGGGGCATCTGAATCGGCTGTTTACGGGAAGGTAACACTTGAATCAATGGATACACACAGCGGACCTCCCAGTAAGAAAAGGTTTGAGGAAAGGCCCTATGAAGAACTTTTGGGGTATAATATGTAAACCTCTGGGACTAGAACATAGGGAAGAAACATGGAGGATAAGGTCATGGGGCAACAAAACTGGGAATGGCAGAGAACCCAGACCATCAAATCTATTCTCAAGCAATTTTCAATTTAAAAAGCTTACTGCTGCAAGTAATGTTATCAGCTCCCAATTCTCTTACTTGTATTTCTTCTCATTCCTCCATAATTCACCTCTGATAACCACATCAAAAATACAGCTAAGTGTGCAAAAGGATAGAAATGAGAAAAGGAAAATAGTATGCAAAGAAAATGAGGAGGAAACTGCTCTAAATTAAAATACCAGGCAGATAGGAGTGTCTCACCTGCATCAGAGCAGGGACCATGTCATCAGCAGTTTGATTATTCTCTTATTTAACTTTCCATCATTTCTTACTACATATATTTCTATAACAGACCCACACTAACTAATTTATGATACAGAGATAGAGATCCCTGGAGGCAACCAATATTATTTTAGAAAGGAAACCTTTTGGCCACATGCTTTGCACTGCATCTAATAATAAGCCACTGTCATTACTAAAGAGCTAGTGAATCTGGTACAGTATTGAAAACAGGCTGCATCACACAAGAACAAAATTCACAACCACTTTACTCATTGTGCTCCTGGCTTTAAGCACTAACTCAATATTTACCACACACCTGTTATGGGAAAGACACTATTCTTGGCACAGACAGGGATACCTGGATGAATTTGGTAGGATCCAGGCCCTTAAAGAATGCACAAAGTAGATGAGCCAAATGTGTACATGATAATGCAATTCAGAGTGTGATGAATGTATGAAAAATGTAGCATGGAAGCAAAAAAGAGGCATTCATTAATCTTAACAGGAGAAATGAGGGAAGATTTCATGGCAGGGTTATCTGGGACTCCCAGGAAAAGTTTTCGTTGTCTTTTTTTCTATTTTTATAATTATTTTTAATTACAAAGGTGATAGATGTTCATTACAAAAAATCAAAAAATACAGATGAGCAAAAAATCACAAATAAACCATTATATTTTTGTATATGCCATTTTAAGAATTTATTTATTTATAAAAATGAGACCATATTGTACATTCTTTTCAGTCAGAAGCTTCTTTCAGGCAACAATATATTACAACCATCTTTCTCTGTTATTTACTACACTTCTGCGCCTAACTGTATTTATTTAAATAGCGCATATCAAAAGGTATAGAAGAATATTCAGGAAAAGCATGTCTCCCTTCCATCCCACCCCCCCATAACCTTATAGTTTCAACCAGAAGCAACCATTGTTGCCAGTTTCTTGTGACCCTCCCATACATACTTTATGAATACATGAGCACACGTGGATATATTTCTTTCTAAATAAATGGTAGGTGTGCACACCCAGTTTTGTACCTTGCTTTTCTCTCCCCAGGAAACAGGCATATCACATATCATGCAGAGTGCTCCACCGTATGGATAGACAATAACTTATTCACCCAGACCCTGACGGACATTGCAAATATTTCCAATCTTTTGCTATTACAGTATTGCTAAGTATATCCTTAAAATGTAAATATGCATACATTTGTGAATATATCTGCAGGAAAAACTGCCAGAAGTGGAGTTTTAAGGTCAAATTATATGTACATTTTAAAATTTGAAAGATAGGACCACAGTGTCTTCCATTCAGGCAGTTCTCCTGCTAACTACCAATGAGAATGCCTCTCTATCTCCCTACCTGTAGCTGCCTGGCCAGATACTATTTCCCACTCCCTTCCCCCCAAACACACACCCCCTATAGACAGCTGAGGTCACTTGTCTGGCCAATGGAATGTGGGAATGTGAACAGAAATGATGTGTGTCACATCCAGGCCAAAGTAACTGAGAGGAGAGAGTGCATTCTCCACCTTACCTTTGCCTTTCCACCAGCTGGAAACACAAGATTTCAAGGCCCTAGGAAGCGGCAGAGCCACATGATGCAAGGAGCGTGAGTCCCTGAACCACCACACAGAGAAAGATGGTCTCATAACCAGAAACATCCACATTGGATGATCACAGGAGGGCGACATAAATTTCTATCATATTAAGCTGCTGAAAAGTTGCTGTGTGTTATAACATCTTGCTTTACCCTAACTAATATACCAAGATACCCTTTTTTATAGAAAACCCCAGATCCATAGTTCAGAGGACTATTGCTTAAGTATTTCAATGTCAAGTATGACAACAGCTGTTAAGAAAATATCCCTCATTTCATGCATTGCCAAGAGCTGTCTTTTTCTCTGTTTTTCCTTTTTGGGGTTTTTTAAATTAATAATGGGTACTGATTTATCAAATAAATAACTTTACAATATCTGTAGAAATGATCCTAAGAATTTTTTCTTTGATCTATTAAGATGATATATTACGTTAATACTTACTAATGCTGAAATAGCCTCACTTCTAAAATAAACCATGTCTACTTGGTCCTGGCATTTTTATATGCTGTTGAATAAGAAACTTGAAATTCTTTAAACATGATTTCTAAGTTTTAAATTTCAAGTGAGAAAGTAAAAAGTAGAACAGCTCCTTCTGAAGAAACAAATTTGCTATCTGGGAAAGTAAGTGAATGAGTTATCACACAACCTAGGCCAAAATGAAAAGAAATGGAATTCCTGAACAAAAAGAAAAGAGAACTAGAGGGCAGGTCTCGGAGGCTTAATTGCAAATAAAAGTAGTTCTCCATGCTGGAGAAAGCAATAATCAATCAAAACACAGCACAGGACAAGTTCCCTCAGAAGGAGACTGGAGTCGTCAGGTCAAAGCGCTCACTAGGGCAGGACAGACGACAAGGGACACACGAAGACACATCCCAGCAAAACTTCTGAAGTTTAATGCAGAAAACATGTAAAGAAAGAACAAGTCACTTAGAAACAAATGAGCGTGAAGCTGGCATCAGACACGGATAAGAACACAGGCTTGAAGTAAGACTACCTGGGTTCAAATCTTGGTGTGAACCTGGGCAAGTTACTTAGCTTCTTTGTGCTTCTGTAAAATAGGGACAATGACGCACTTGGCTTCTAAGGCTGGCTGGAAGCAGCACTTGAGATAACACACGGAAGAGTTTGGCACAGAGTTCGAATCACTGGACGTGTGTTAACTCTATCAGAGTGAAAACTTGGCAGACTTCAGAGAGGACAGGAGCCTGAGCCCTCCCAGAGCGCAGCTCACAGCACTACGACCTGAAGAGCTGCACAGCCAGGCCGCCCCGACGCCTCTAACGGTGCCTGAGCCCAAGCTGGTGAGAAGTGAACTGACGGGCAGGAGGAATCTCACTGATTAATTTCTATTAATGCGAACAGGGAAAGAATGACAGTTTTTGGCCTGGAGCTCAAGATTATCAGAAATGAAAAAGTTGGAGGCCCTGTCAAGAGTGAATGGACTCAGAGAGGAACCTTTTAGGGCCAGTGAGGACTCTCCTATGATGAGTAGATCTTATTGATGTTGCCATTGAGGACCCTCCAAAAAGCAAACTAGTATGGGACTTGTGGCTGCCTGATTTGTGTGTCATAAGTTATTTCAGGCATTCAGCACATTCAGATTTGAGCACACCTACGTGTCAGGAACTACAATGGGGATCTAAGTGTGAACAAGACACACCAAGTCCCTTCCCTCAAAGGGTTTACATACATGGATCTTGATTCATATAACCCAAATGAGAATGCCCAGGGGATGCAAGAAACTGATCATACTGACTGACGTTATTAGCAAAATGCATCACACACACACACATGCCTTTTAGCCCAATTACAGAAAAAAACAAAAGAAGCCAATTTTTAATATTGTTAATCATGAATAGTCAGATGTTACTTTAACTTAATTTAGTCCTATTTGTTATAGTTCTGTGAATGCAAAAGCTAGCACAACAATTTGGTGGAACTCTTGCATTAATTACAGTCATGAGATACTTTAACAATGGGGACGCATTCTAAGAAATGCATCATTAAGCAATTTCATTGTGTGCAAACATCCTAGAGTGTACTTACACAAACCTACATGGGATAGCCTACTACACAGCTAGGCTATGTGGTACCAATCTTGTGGGACCACCGTAGTATATGCAACCTGCCATTGACCAAAACATCATTAGGCAGTGCATGACTCTACCTCAGTTCTAGTTACTAAGCACTTGGCACCAACCAGAAATACTATAAATGTTCCTCTCTAGATACTAACTAAAAATTCCCTAGTCCACCGCCCATCTTCAGATGGAAGATTATTTCTTCGATCCAAGAGAAAGATATAGAATTAAATGGCATATAATGAAAGGTGAATGGTAGCCCCAGAAAAGATATGTCCGTGTCCTAATGCCTGGAACCTGTGAATATTACCTTATTTGAATAACGGGTCTTCGCAGATGTAATTAAGGATCTCAAGATGAGGAAGTCACCCTGGTTTATCGAGGTGTGCCCTCGATATCCAACGACAAGTAGAGTCAAAGTCAGTCCTTATAGGAGAAACGCAAAGAGAGGTCAGAGACAGACAGAAGAGGAAAAGACACGGGAAAAAGGAGGCGGCTACATGAACACAGAGGCAGAGATGGGCGTGAGGCAACCACAAGTCATGGCATGCCAGCAGCTATCAGGAAGTAAAAGGGGCAAAGAACTGATTCCCTCCGGGAGCCTCAGAGGGAGTGCAGCACAGCCCACACCTGGACTTTGGACTGTGACCTCCAGAACTGAGAGAGAATGCATTTCTGTTGTTTTGAGCCACCTAGTTTGTGCTAATTTGTTACAGCAACCATGGGAAACCAACACAGTGAACGAAGGCATTTTCCTAAGGAGTCCTGGGTTCAAGGCCCACTCCGTCAGTTAGTCCCTATTTGCTCTTAGTAAGTCTGTTAGCCTCCCTGAGTCTCCACTGTCTTATGTGTAAAACTGGGGTAATCAAATCTGTGCTCCTATGCCCCAGGATTCTGATAAGAATCAAATGAGACCATATGTGTGAAAACACTTACAATACTGTAAAATTCTATACAAATATGAATTATTAGACTTTATCTGCAATTTCAAAAGCGGTGTATTGTGGAACCTGGGCTCTTTATTCAAGCCCACTTGATGCAACCCTTCAGGCAAATCAATACTTGCCTAATCTCAGCAATGCCAACATTCTAGCAATTTCTAACACCAAATTTTATCTATAGAATTAAGCTATCACTAATGTACAGAGTACCTCTTTAGCGCTGGGATTTAAGGAAGAAGGTCTGATTACCACTAACCTCATCATCTATCTCACCTCCTTCAGACATCTTCCACTCCTGTCACCCTAATTTAGCAGAGACCATCTGATTGGTTTATTGCCCCACATATATTAACACATCAGTTCTAACTGACTGGCCTTCAACAACATCTGCACACTCACTTAACACAATCGTAATTCTTTCTCTAACTGATCTTAATTATTACATACTGAATTTTTGTCAGCTAAGAATGAACCATTAATACCCTCTTCCTCTTGTTTCTGGTTTTCCACAATACACGGATCCTGATCTACTGCCAGACTTAGTTCTTCTTTCCTGAAGTCAAGTATATTTATGAAGTATAACCATAAACTAAGGATATTAGTTCCACAAGTTATGGACAAAAGTTAATTTCATAACTCTATAATCTCACTTTATCCATGGTACTTTTTAGACTATTTTGTATTTTCCAGAGAATTTTTCCATTTTTATTTCACAAGAAACATCACCAAACAAATTCCAAATTATTGAGAGGCTGATTCTACTGCAAGGTTCAAATTTCTTTCCTTCAGGGCGAGGAAGTTTGACATTAAAAATAATGAAATGGCACTTTGGTAATGCAGTCTTGTACCAAAATTTATTTTCTCATGCCTTAATCATTCTTTTCTATACTGGAGCTGAATGGCATTCAAATCTTCCTTAGATCTAACACAGAGCACCATAAAGACTTTATTCTCTGAAATTTTGCCTCTTCAGAGTTCTTTAAGTAAACTTAAAAGAATTATTCCTAAATAGAAGTTGAAATGGTAAAAACTTCAATGGACTGAGATTTATAAATGTAAAAATCACTTGCAATTATCATCATCAACAATACACATCCTTAAGACAAGGTGTCCTTCAAGAATGCATTAGGTATTCCTACCAAGCCACTGAACTGTGGGTAATATGTCATTTTAATATGCTTAACTTCACTACCTTCCCATAGATAGCAATTAAATCACTTCTGAGATGCAAATTAAACGTTTGATTCTTGGGATCACCACTAAAATTTTCAAATCAAAAATCATACTTAGGAAATCCACAGCCATTATTTTATATGAATATAGACAAATACTACTCTATGGCATTATCCATAACTTTAAATATAAGCTTTATCCCCCTACAAATGGGTTTATAAAGGTACCTACTGTATCATCTCAGATCAATAAAAAGCTTAGCCACAGTGGCCTCCTAATTTCATGATCTCTAAATAAATGGCCTACAAGAAAGTGAACCCTGAACCTCTTCCAACAACTGCAGCCTCTACGTTTTTCAGACAATCGACCCCACACAAGAGTGCCAAGGTACTACTTATTCTTGAAATGTGCTGACTCTCTAGATAAAGAAAGCTGGAGCTAAAGATCTTCCCTAAGAGTCTAACTCTAGATCTTCAGAATTCTTCTTCAGAACCTGAAACATCCTAGGAAGTCATCCCCTCCCCACTCACCCATCGTCACAATCTAGCGTAGAATCTGGCCCCTCGCCACTAGAGGGGGTGTTTCTTCTGTTGGTTTCTCTTTCCCCTATCTTGGCTCACCAGAATTTCTGGTTGAACTAGAAATAAGCCTCAAGATCAACATCCTGACCTTTAGTTCCCCTTCATGTTGTGTGGCCCTTTCTTTTTATTCCAGGCTGTAAGTTGCCACAAAGATTTTAGCTTCAATCCCTAATTACTTTTATTAATATATCCCACATCATACTCCATTGCCTTTTTACAAACAGACTTACAAGCTACACAGACCTGATTCTAGACACTTTGACATTAGTTCACCAGAAAATAACCAGAAAATCCAACCAAGCTTGAGTATTCTTTTTTCCCCAAAGTTTTTTCATTTCCCATGTTCATAGAGTTTCATCTGAATCATAACAACACTATGCCAAAAAATCAGCCCAGAACTAGTAACAAATTTCAAAGAAGAAACTCAATGTCTTTAAGTGACTTGCCCAAGATTTCAGGTAGCAAACAGTGAAGCCATAATGAAGACTCAAGTGCCCCGACCCCTAGGTCATTTCTGGTGCTACTTACTCTACGCCATGAGAAAATGGCCAAGTGCTCACCTACTCTTCCTCTTTACCACACCAGTCTAGAGCAAATAACTGTCTGACTACTCATTTAACTTAACTCATTACTTCTGGCAAAGATCACATACATCTGCTTAGAATTGTCCCCACTGACCCTAAGTAAAGTCACAAAGTATGGAAGGAGTGAGTGCGAGAGAGAAAGGAAAGAGGAGCAGAGGAGAGAAGGAAAAGAGGGAAATAAATCTATTAAACAATCTTGAGGCCAGACTTAAGATGCAAAATATGCAAGAGCATGGACCAGGACGAAAGCAAGAAATCAGAATCAGAATCACAATCAGAAGGATGAACAACAAACAAGAGCAGTCACACCACCAGACATTCAAACAATCCAAAAGGCTCCAGAAGAGATGGTGGGTGCTGGCCGGTTCCTTGCTGCTTTCTGTGAAGAACTCTAGTCTAAGGCAGAGCGCCCTGGAGAAGACTGAGACAAGAAGTGGCCAATTAGAACATGCACCCACTTTATGAAGCCAGGAAACAGGGGAGGGAAGGACCCCGATAAATCTTCAGAATAAAATCAAAACCATCTGATGTGACCCTCCTTGGGACAAAGTGTATATACCACTCAGAATGCTTTTGGCTGCAAGTGACAATCACACTGGCTTACACAATAAGGAACTGTATTATCTCTCAGAACTGGAAGTTCGGAGGTAAGGCAGACCAAGTACAATACAATCAGCAGTTCAGAAAGGTCATGGAGGGCTCAGGTTTCTTCTCTCTCTGTTTTGCCATCTTCTAGATGAGCTTCATCCAAAGCCAGTTCCTCTCACTGTCTTAAGCCGGCCTGAGCAGTTCTAGCCATCATATTCAGACATAACATCATCAGAGGAAGAAGAGGCACCACCCCTTTCTTTCATATCTTTTTAGGGACAAGAAACCCTTTCCCGGAGGCACTCTGACCCTCCTCTAGGACTTCCCTTCACAGCTCATTGGCCAGAATAGCTTACAGGCCATTCCCAACCCTTCACTGGTAAAGGAAATGGGATTAACTATGGTTGCTCAGACTAATCCTCTGGGGTGTAATGAATGCTGGCAAGTCAATCACCATGACCATGGGCAATTTAGAATGATGAGTATTACTGTGACATTGTTTTTACTCCATAACAAACCTATAATTCAATTATGCTTGTTTCCATGATCTTAACTATGAGGCAAGTGCTTTGCCTGAGATTCAGATAATTACTCTTTGCTCACATCTCATATTTATCATCATAAACTTATTTATCAGAGATAAAACATTTTATTATAACTCTCTTGTTCAATCTACTATTTTTTTTAAAAAAAAAAAAACCTTAATGCAATATTTTAGAGTAAGAATGGTAAGTAGGTTTGTCTGCCACAGAAACTCCGGCAGATGGAGCTACCTAGCACCCCATCTCAAAGACGATCCAAAGCTGAGTTTGGACCCAATAAGAAATAGTGCCACGACTGATTAGTGATATCTACCACGGACTTGGGTTTGGGCACAAGACACAGCATATTTTTCCCAACTCTGATTTAGAAAAACTCCCTTTCAATAATTTCCCTCCAATGATAATGGATTCCTCTGCTGCAGGGCTTCCTTATTTTTACTGTAGTGGGGACTCTACCTAATGTCCACCCTCACTTCACTCTCCCCATCTAATTTACATACATCTACACATAAGATAAACCAAGTATGAACTCCAAAAATTATTTTACATATAATTTGAGAGTTCCACTAGAATTCTGGAACCGGGCCCCTTTTGTAAGTCCATAGAAAGGCTTGGCAGAATGGCTTCACCCACAAACTGTCTCACTTAAGGGAGGCAGGTGGGGTCTTTGGGGCCCAGGCTGGACGTGAACCAAGCCTGGATTGAGGGACAGAAGGAAAAAGAGAATGGCAATCCACTCCCAGTTAAGATAGACTGGCCCACAGTTGCAAGACAAAAGGCAGAAAGAAGCAAAACCTAATCCCGGACAAAAGTGACTAATCAATAATTGGAGAATGCTTAAATAATGGCAGATTACAAACAGAGTGCAGAGTTTATGTGTATAAAATGCATTTGAAAAGACAGGGAAGGACAAGAGTGGTTATTCCTCAGTGAATGAATTAATGGCTTTTTTTCTTTTGTCCTTCTACTCCTTATCTGCATTTTTCCGAGTGTCCTGTACCGCACATGCACTGCCTTTTTAACGAGGGGAAAAAAAAACAATAAACGAAAATGTTTTTATCTTATCGCTCGATGTTTTGGTTGTTCCAATTAACTTCTTATTGCCTTGTAGTTAAGATCAAGCTTGTCCAAATATTCTCCAATTGTTGGGCAGCTAGATGGTTTTAACTTTTTGACATCACAAGCAACAAAGTGCTCTTGTAGCTGAAAATCAATGTGAAATATAAAAGAAAAACGAGAAAAACTCTAGAAAATGAACCAAAAGTATTTAATGACCCCATAATATACTAAAACTACCACTACTCAAAAACTAGTAACTTAGGATATTCATTTTTTATCAAATCATTGTTTTAACCAAATTGTCCAGTTGACCAGCTTGATTTCAACTGAACTGTATTTGCTCAAAATTGGTTTTGGCCAAAATAACTTTAAATCAAATTGGCATTAGACAAAGAATATACTACCAGCCATCAGGGAAAAGTCTGAAGGCAGAAATAAGAAATAGGATCCCCCAAAAAGGTTCAATAATAAAAACCAGGCAAGATGGCACGATGCTTGGGAAAAGTCTGAAAGAGAAAGATCACTGGGGGCAACGGTTCAAAGGAGAAGGAAGTCTTTTATCAAGGAGCTGTAAAACTATCCCAAGGAGCTCAGAAAGTGCTAGTAAGGGTATCAAGTAAATTCAGTTTCATCTGCCTGCTTGGACACGCTCCCCTAGGTAGAACAAAGGATAAGGCTGGGGTTTTCCCTATGTTCCCTAGAGGAAAAAACTTAATCTGCTTGAGGTTCAAATTGAGGACGTATGTTTCCCAAATAATTCAGCCACAATCACTTTCCAAGTAAATGAGGTTCTGGAGCTGGCCACTGCATCGTGGGGAATCCAAACCACTTTTCTGGCACATTATGGTTCCCAATCCAAATCAGAGAAGGCAATATCCCACGCTGTCAGACAAAGCAGAGGTGGCAGAAGAGATGAATTTGCAGAGAGGGAAGGAATGTGAATTGGACTGCTCGGAGTGAAGGGCCCAGGCAGTGGACTGCGGGTTCTGCGACAGCGGGTTAGTATGCATAGGGAGCCAGAAGACATCTCTGGGTTGAACAGCCTTCTAGGGAACCTGATCACAGTTAAGATTTCTTTTGGGCCAGTTATTGCTCAATGTGAAATCCTGGAGAGCTCTCCGAGCACCGGGTAATCATTCAAATATTAACTGGCTGCCAGGCCGGTGGTGTTGCCAAGGGAAACGGGGAGGGAACACGGTGAAGACACCTTAGCCTCTAAGGAAAGGCATTCTACAGGCAGGAAAACAGAGAACTGTGTTTATATTCAGTCACAGCAAAGTAGGTGAGAAAAAAGGTAGATGAATCAAATTCGTCTTGTTTTTGGCAAGAAGCAAAACAACGTAGACACAGACTGCTCACAAATGGTGTTGGGGCAACTGAGTGACCAGGTGGAAAAATAAAGCTGGACCTATCCCTCACACCATACACCAAGAAAAACGGGTCAAAAATTTAAGTGTAAAATGGAAACCATAATGTAGTAGAAGACAATATGAGAGAACTGTTATAACCTTCTAGTGGGGCAGGCTTTTCTAACTTTGACACAAAATCCAGAAGTCATAAAAGAGAAGACGGACAAATTCAACTACATTTTAAAAAAAATCTACCCAGCAAAAACACCATAAGCAAAGATGAAGGACAAATGACAAACTGGGGGCGAAATGTTGCAACTCGTATTACCAAAGGCAGATCTCCATATTATAAACGTGGGCTACAAGGTGATTTTTAAACAACCTCCCCCAAACTAAGCAAAGGATACGAGACACTTCACAGAAAAGGAAATATCAATGGCTTTTAAACATATGAAAAGATATTCAAACTCACTCATGAGAGAAATAGAAATAAAAAATGCTCTAAGATAACATTTTTCACCTATCAGATTGGAAAAAATTCAAAAGCTCAATAAGACATTTTGTTGGCAAGACTATGGATAATCGGGCACACTCATCCATTTCCGGTGGGGGTGTAAACTGTGCAACCTCTATGGAGGGCAATTTGGTAGCATCTAGAAAACTACTGTGAGATATACTCTGTGGTCAGTAATTCCACTTTTAAGAATTGACCCTACTAATATATTTGCACAAATGTGAAATAATCTGTGTAACAAAAATATTTATTGCAGCATTGTTTGTAATAGCTAAAGAGTGAAAACTGCCCAAATGTCCATCAATACGGAACTGGTTAAATAAATGATACTATACTTACACAAAGACGTGGAAGAGATCTCCAAGATATATTATTAAAGTGAAATATATCTTGGATATTTTTCCACTGTTATGTTAAAAACTCCAAGATACACTGTTAAGTGAAAAAGGCAGAATAATACCTATTAGCTTCCATTCGCACAAAAAAAGGAAAAGGAAAACAGAATTCATATCTGTATTGGTTTGGATATGCATTTACAAACTCTGGAAGGATAGGAATTGAGTAGATGGAGGACAGAGTGGAAGGAAAACTTCATTTCTAAACATTTTGTTGCTCGAATCATGTGAAGGCATTACCTTTTCAAAAGTTAAATCTTAAAACGTTTAATAGGTTAAATGCTAGTGGATATAATTCAAGCTCCTAGATTATAGTCTCCATTTGGGCCCTCAGTCTATGAGTGACAGATGGGAGATAAGTGGCTGTCACTTGGAGGCCGTGAATAGTAGCATCCGGAACTGGAAAGCAAAGTGAGGGTTACAGTCGGAAATCTGACGACTAGAACAGGTTGTATATGCCCAGGGCAGAGACATGAAAACCAGAAGGAAGAACACAATCTTGTGACAGTATCATAGCAAAAGTGACACATCAAAATAAAGAGATAAGCCAGAGATTAATTCTTGGGGCTATCTGGGGTCAAAAGGTGGTACAATTCCTTAGGACAGCTGAATTGGCTCTTAGTCCACAACAGACGTCACAGAGCGGTGTAGCTCAGGGGTACTGCCCTCAAAACGGGCAACCAGAAGGCTCTGGGGATTAGGGGCAATGGTGGGACAGGGGAATGTAGGAACAACAGCACGGTGGGGGACAGCTGGCCTTCTCTACTCCTCTCGTATGTCTAACCACTGAGAAAAACTCTCAGAAAAGTTCACCAGGCCACGAGGCTGGTTAAAGAAAGAAAACGGAGTATTCTGAATAAAGCTTCTTGAAAACTGCTTTCACTCATTCATCAAATGTTTACAGAGCTCCCAGCCTGTGCCAAGAACTGCCTTAAGTGCTCAATAAATTCATCCCCCAAAATAAATAAGGCCAAAATAATTTAAACAAAAAGTCACTTTAAAAGATTTAGAGATAGAGGCTTGTCTCAAAAAACTTTTGAAATATAAAGTCACTAAAATGCCAACTGACAATTATAAAATGCTATGAAACTATGGTAAATGGATTTCAAATTGCATCCAGTTAATTCTATTGTTTAAAAAAAAAGTGAAAATAGTGATTTGACATGTGAATTTAAAATAAGACAATCATTTTCAGAAATTACGAGGTAGTTTATCGCAATTTTACTAAGCTTACATAGCATAAATCTTTAAAATATAGCTTCCTATTCTCATGGCTACAATTGATAAAACAGGAAAACATAACTGGAAAAGGAAACTAATTCAGAACAGATGTTAGGAAGGAATTTTTCCAGTAGTGAACTATAAACATGCGGAATAAATACTAGAAAATGTACTATGGTAAAAAATCAGAATCAGCTACTAACTACACGAACTAAGCAGGAAACCAGAAACCTAAATATGTAGAACAGGCATTTAAAAAAAGCCCTAAATTAATGGACAAGCCATGTTTTTACTATCCAAACCTGCAATGTGGTAAAGCTCAGGTATATCCCAATGCCTATAAAGCCTGCTCTTATTTATTCATAAGGATGTACCCAACTGCAAACCTAACAAGTTTACAAACCAAATTGATTCCTGCTTGATTTGCCAACATTTTTTCAACTTAATACCTACTTCGTACTTTCCTTTTGACCTGCCTTCTTAATATTTCACTTTCTCAATCTACTCACACTCTAAAAGGCAATATAAAGACCTGCAACCCCCCATCACCAATCCTTCTCTAGAAAACGCAGAAAGGACAGTTCTGCCTCAGCTGCTACTGTCAAGAAGAAATGGCTTATGCCTAGCATGCAGGGAAGACCAGAGAGGAACTGAAGAGGGGCAAACAACAGAATCCACTCCAATAAAGTTTACTACTTTGCATGAAGTCAATTTGTGACTCACCCATATTCGAGTGAATATACAAAAAAAATTCCAAAGCTAAATATAAAATGACTTTTGGACTATCCAGCTTTCTGCCTGTTTCCACGTTATGCACAGGAGAAGGCTGTGAAGCTGGCAGTACATTAACCCTCTCAGGCCACCAAGATCTCACTCAATGACTACAGTTAATTATCATGCAGGCCAGAGCAGTTTAACATAATAGTACTACCATAACGACAAGTGTTACACACAAAAGAGTCAAGAAGCCTCCTGACTGCAGCAATCACGTAAGGACAGGAGACCAGGCCAGAGGTGACTCAAGATTCACAACTTTTAGCCAGCCTAAAAAAGCATTCAACTTTAGAACCTGAAAGAGCCTTAAAGATCATACGGCAAGCACAACCCTATCATTTTAGAGATGGAGATATTAAGGCCCCAAAAAATTAATTAACTAATCCAAGGTTGGGCAGCTTCATGGCAGCAAAGCCAGACCCAGGCCTCTGAGAAACAATCTAGTGCTCTCTGTGAAATACAGCATCCCACTCTTGGAGAAGATGCTGAAGGAACTGAATTTGTACACCTGAGGCAATCTTCTTTTTTTTTCAGAGTTAGGTGAAGGGAAAGGGTTATATGTGGAAAAAGATATTTACTTCATCTATCGACACTAGCTCAAACACAGACCTTATTTCATAGGCATATATAATATCCTGAACAAGACTATCACACAAGACTACTAAGTCTTCTCCCCAAATCACTGTGGTCTCCCAGAGCTTACCAGCGACTGGGGAAAACATGAATACGAAACAATCTTTTTAACCAAAACGCAAGCCTGTCCTATTATTTACTAATGGATAGAAAAATATTAATAAGATTTTAAAATGTTATTAGCACTTACACTATCAAGCAATCTTTCCATCTTGAGTTTTTACTCTTTTCCAAAATTTTCTATAACATAGAAAGTCTTTCCTGATCTATTATATTACTTTTTCTTCGTTAGAGTAAATTTTAGTATTTTAAGTCACATGGGCCTCTCTCTAAAATTTCTAACAAATCATAATCCCAAAATCTCTTTGCCTAGCTTACCTCTGCATATATATACTGCCATACAAATCTATTTAAATATATTTTGGAAGAAGTATGAGATTCAAGAATTTTTATATTTAACTGGTTATACATATACATAGATGGTTCTCAATTTTCTCAACCTTAAGAAATTTTTCAAAAGAAGCTGATATTAACATTTCCTAGCCTACAGCATCCAGTTCATCACTGAAAGTAGCATAAGAGAAAGTGAAAACAGAGGGAGAAAGAAGGTAGAATGAGAGTCAAACCAAAAGTCTATCAGGAAAAAAAAATCATAGCAAATCTTCCTACGCAGATGTAAGAGGCACACACCAAGCTGCATGCAGTTTCCTTGTCTCACCATGCAGCTGTCTGTGCTTGCGGCCGGCTCGCTGACAAGGTGTGTTCATCGGGAGCAGCAGGAGTTGGGGTAAAGAAAACAACTGATGCGTGATCTCATGTGTGTCCATTCTCGCCAAGAATATCCTAGTCCATACAATTTGTTACTTACATCGTGGCTGCTCTCTATTCATATTCAAATTTAGATGTGGGAATATCTTACAGACATTTACGAGCTATGTTAAACTTAGGGGCCACAGAAATCTCCAAGATGTGTGAGGCAGGCTTCTGAAGCTTATCGTTTGACAGGAGAATAAGCTCTGGACATAAGAGCACAGAAAGAAGGCAGCAAAATAAGAACTTAAGAATAACGAACCATCTGAGTTCATTTCTTGAGCTAGTTTTAGAGGACAGGTCAGATTTCAATAAGCAGAGAAGGAGAAGAAGGGACTGCCATAAAAAGGAAAACTAGGAACACATGCGGGATGGTGAAAGAATGTTTGAAGAACAGTGAGGACGCCAGTTTGACTGAGAGAAATTCTGTGGAAATAAAGAGGCCAGGAAGTGGAGGCTTTTGGGTTTTATTGTAGAGACGTTATCCAGCTGCTGAAGAGTTTTGAGCCCAAGAATGATATAACGAAAGTCACATTTTAGGAGGATTAATTTGGCAAGGACAGAATTGATAAGAAGGGATGGTCTGCAGGTGGGTCAGAGAGAAAGCTACCACAATAGTCCCACGTTCCTGAGCCCAGGACCTCAGTGTAGAAGTCAATGTCAACTGAAGCTGCTAAATTTTATACAGACTTCTTCAATATAGTATCGAACTTCTAAACTAATTCTAGAAAATTTGTACTTACACAATTTTTTACTTTTCCTTCCTATTTTCACCTTAGGTAACAACTTCTGGCTTGGAATTTTTATTTCACCCTTCCTCACCCAATCTTTGCATTAAGACGACTCATAGTCATTCTTTACATACTAGCAAAATCAACAGGAGTCTATGTCATTACTTAATCAGAAGAGCATTTAAAGCAATTTTTTAAATCCCACCTAGTTAAATTGCTTTATATCATACACAATAAATTTCCCTCAAATTTCATATTTTATTTTCCAAGAGAAAGAGCACTCTCTTTCTCGCAGACTATACCTGCAAAACCAAAATGAAATGAAAGGTAGCTACCCAGTGAATCTGTAATAGTTACTTCACAGAAAGAGTTTTTAATAGATTGGCTGCCATAAGTATCATGACAGCAGAAACTAACTGCTTTCTTTGCCTTGTGTGTGTAAACTAGGCCACACACGAATGTCCCTCTTCTAGAAAAAGGACCAAACCAGGTAAGTTTTCAACATTTCACAGATTAAGGTAGTCTTATTGTATTTGCTTTCCCAGAAGAAGAGGTTTAATTATAAAGTATCAAGTTTCATTTAATAAAAAAGTCATCGAAAAGGTAATTTAGATTACTGAAACAGACATCTTTCATATGCCTTACAGAACAGTATTATGCCTGATTTCTAGTAAGTCAGACTTTTGAAAAGCTAGCATAGAACAAGAGGTATTAATTTGAAAAAAAGAAAAGAATGACTTATTCAGTTGGAGGTCACCTAAAGAACTGCATATGCTCCAGGATTAAGCAGAGGACTGTGTCCCAGTTTGTAAGACAGCCTTGTCTCTGCTTTCACGACTTTCCATTTGAGTGCAAAAATGTTGCCACTTATCAGTGACCACTGGAACCTCTCCAGCAGGCAGTCCGGTTTCCTACCCCGAGGAGCACTAAGCCAGCTGATTGGCTCAGCGCAACCACACAACAGCCCTCAGCCTAACAGCAGTCAAGGAACAAAGATTGGTGACCAATTCTCAGGAAGGAAAGGATCTAAACGCGGCAGGTGGAGGGAGGGGGAAGCGCAGAATTAACCGACATAAATGTCCAGAAAGACACACCCACTCAAAGAGAGAAAAGCTAAACCTGGAGATATTCAGCCAGGAATGGATTTCTTTTTTTTAAGGTAAACAAGGATATGAATCTAAAAGTGTCACTGAGGGACCCCAGTTCATATGAACAAACTAGGCTAGGAACTTCATAGCACCTTGTGGGCAAGGACCTTAGAAGTACCTTGAGTGGGCAAGGACCTTTTATATACTAACATTTAGAAAATGTCGCTTATTCAACAAATTCATTGAAAGATGTCCTGTTTCCTAAAAACGGTACCTAAATTTAGGGTTCCTGCTTTACACTGATTCCAATTCTGCATGAGAACTCAAGTTGAAGGGGGAATGGGTGAGGTGCAGAACACACGAAATTTTTACAGCATGGAAATAAAAGTATTTTTAAACCTTCTTGGGGGTGAAGCATTGGGCAAGAAGTAATACGTGGAAACTGTCAAGTGCTTCTCTACACACCCACCCACCAGATACCATCGCACCCGGCTAGGGGAGTCTCCCTCTTCTTGCCTGACAGCTTCACTTTCTTTGAGGTCTGGAGCTGGTGATCACACTGGCCCGTCATGGTATTTTCAGTTAACAAAGCAGTTACTCAACAGGGGAAAAAGCCACAAAGGAGCAGAGCAGCTGCTGCTGCACCCGTGATGCAAGTGCAGGATGAGCCCCGGGCCGCCACCGCCGCCTCGGCTCCTCCGTGACGTTCGGGAGGGGTATCCCCGGCTCTCAGGAAGTGGTGGCCGCGGGCGGCTCCGCCCCCACTCGGCTCGGGGCTGGCCGGGCCGCCGGGTGGCAGGACTGCCTGGCCCGCCGGCGGGCGGGGATCACCGTCCGAGACGTGCGCCCGCCCCGCGCGCCCTGCGCCCTCGCCCCGCCTCGTTCGGGCCCCGCGCCCGCGCCTCGCCCTCCTCTCCCGTCACAGCCCGCGCCCCCCTCTCTCCCACGGCTCACACCCACTCACCCCGACCCCCTGCGCCGAGCCCGGCCCAGCGTCGCCGGTCACCAGACGGGGTCGAGCCGAGTCCAAGATGGCGACTCCGCCCCCGCCCCCTCCGCACTCCGGGCGGGGTCAGGGCGCCCCCTCACGCGGCGCGCTCGCGCCCGAGGCCCGGCTAAAAATAGCCGAGCCCCGCTATATTTGGTGCGGCCGGATCCCGGCGCGGCCGCGCGCGCCCCGCCCCCCCCCCCCCCCCCCCCCCCCGCGCCCCCCCCCCCGCCCCGCCCCGCGCCGCGCTGAATGGAGAAGGGGCGGGGGTGACCGAGGGGAACCCACTCCGCTATCTGCGGCGCGCGCCGGCAGCGGGGCCCGGCCAACCGCCGAATTTAGTAACATTGCCTGCGTCAATCACGCGCCTCGCGTGCGTCAGCGCCGCGCGGCTCCAGGTCCTGCTCCCCCCACCCCCCAGCTCTGAATGGATACAATGTAGCAGCGCCCTCCTTCCTTCCGAGGCTGGATTGGAACCAGGGGCAGCGAGCGCAGAGGCTTGGTTCCTCTCTGCCCGGTCAACGTTCGGAGCATCCTCCTACGGTCTTCTCCACACCACCCTGTCTGAAGTGGAAGCGGAGGCGAACAGATACACCCATGTCATATATATTTAGTTTTGTTTTCAAGTTTCTGGTGCTAGCTCGAAGCTTCTTCGATTCTGAAATGTGTGCTGTCGACAATGGGATCCTCCCCCCTACTCTGCCCCCCTCACACACGCAAAGATTGTGACAGGTCAAAGAAATAAAATGTCACATCTGATTCAAGCGAACCACCTGGGGACCCTGTCTGTCTGCATTGCTTCACTCGAATATTTTCTCCGCTTCCCAAATTCATTTCTAAAGGAGGTTGCTTTCAGTCAGATGCAACCTTTGGTACTAGGAGACTTGAACTCTGATAAATTTTTATTTTTGTTTTCGGCAAGAAACTCACACTTAAATTCATCATTTCCAGGAAGAAAAGGCTCTCCCTCACACAGTCGTCCAGGCTTTCGGCACACCGTTTCATGACAAATGTGTGCCAGGAGACCAGAGCAAATCCCCTAGCGAGGGACTAATAAATCCTGTTGATTGATTTCGAAATGTTTAAGTCGGGAGATGGGAGGGGAGGCCAGTGTACAACCATCAAAAAGTGAAAGTGCGAGCTTAGAGTTCCATTTCTGACTGGGGGAGGGGGTTATTTGCAACAGTCAGACCCGCTCAGCTGTTCAACACGTGTGGGTTTGTTTTACACACATTAAGTAGTTTCTGCTGCAGCGCGCGCGTGGATGATGGATGTGCACTTAGCTGGGTTATAATGGGTCCACTTAGGAAACTCACACCTTAAGTATAAAGAAAGAAAACCTTATCTTCTCGGAGCCATCTGCATCCCTGCGCGAAATACGAACCCAGCAAATGATAGGAGGAGGGGGATTCGCCTAGGCGCAGAGGGCCAGAGAGACGTAAACAGCTTTAGAACTGCTGCTGGCCAAAGCGCAGCTGCACCTCAGGGAGTCTTCGGACTGCTGCAGCGGCTGCCAGGTCACTCGGAGAAGCTGGCTGGCGGAGTCTTCCCTTTCGGAAGAGCTGTCCTCTCCCTTACCCCCTCGCCTTGGCTCCCTGCCTCGGGGCAGCCTCGGAGGCGCGCCAGCAGCACTCCTCCAACTCTACTCCACCCGAGCCTGACAGCTGGGCGGTCCCGCCTGACCCGCGGGCGGGCCGCTGCACCCTCTGGCAGACTCGCGCCGGGCCAGCAGCGCCGCTGCAAAGGAGTTGGCAGCGCGGGTCCGAAAGGCCTGCGGGGCCGGGGCTGGCCGCGCGATGCAGTTTCCATTGTGCTGCCCTGAGAATGCCCGGGGAACGCGCGCGCGCGCGCACATGCACACACACACACACACACACACACACACACCCTCGCACACGCGGAACCGGCTGGGCCAGGGAGGGAGGAGGAGGGTGACGTAGCGTCCCATGGCGTCACATTGACGTCTCGCATTCCAGGCACTCTATGGAGAGGCCGCTAGGGCTCCTGTGGCATAAATGACGTGCCGAGAGAGCGAGCGAACGCGCAGCCGGGAGAGCGGAGTCTCCTGCCTCCCGCCCCCCACCCCTCCAGCTCCTGCTCCTCCTCCGCTCCCCACATACAGACAAGCTCACACCCGCTCCCTCACTCGCACACACAGACACACACGCGCACACACGCTCCGCACACACACTCCACTCTCTCCCGCGCGCTCACACCCCTCTCGCCCTGCGCCCTCGCGGGTGCAGCGCCGCGCACAGCCGGACGCCCCTCCCGGGCTCACCTTGCAACGCTGACAGCGCCGGCGGTGGCCGTGGAGGTGGGAACAGCGGCGGCATCCTCCCCCCTTGTCGCGGCCGGAGCCAGGACGCCCGCAGAACTCCTCGGCGGCGCTCTCCCATGAGTCGGGATCGCAGCATCTCCTGCCAGCCACTCACCGCCTCTGGGAGCCGCTGGGCTTGTACACGGCAGCCCTTCCGGGACAACAGCTGTGACTCCCCCCAGTGCAGATTTCGGGACAGCTCTCTAGAAACTCGCTCTAAAGACGGAACCGCCACAGCACTCAAGTATGTATGAGATTCGCCCAGTTAATTGGGGGACTTGCTAAAAAGTTGGCGCGCTGGGAACCGTCGCTCCTGAAATTGACAACTTTAAGCGTGGGGTTTTCCCCCCTCGGCTCTTCTCTCCGGCTTTGCTCGCCGAGCGGCCGGTGGGTTCTGATCTGAAACTTTTCCCCTGTAGCGGGCCCGCAGGGATCTCTGGAGCTCATGGGATTCCTCCCCCTACCCGAGGAGGCGAAAAGCCTCTAACAAAGAGGAGGACCGGGATTTGTGCAGTAGCAGCTCCAGCGATGTAATTCAGGGTATTTCGGCTCTAGTTGTCATGGTAATGATGCTCTCGGCGGCGGCGGCGGCAGCGGCGGCGAATTGCAGCTCCGGTGATGAACGGCAGTAATTTCCCTGGCTTTTAACTAGGATTGAAAATAGGGGCTGTGGTGGGTCTAAGTTAATATACCTAACGGTGACTCCAAGCTGGTTGCTTGGGGAGAAGCTTGGGAGGGAAGGGGCCTGGGCAGCAGCGGCCGGAGTTTGCAAAGGCGTTCCGAGGATCTCAGGAAAGAGGGCGTAATTGTAGGAATGTGGCTTATTGTATTGAAATGAGCCTGGGGCTCCACTAGGCACGTCTGCCTGGCGTCGCCGACTTGCCCGTTTACACTTTTCCCTCCGGAGGTAATCGGGTGTAATTGTCGGCCCCCTCGGCCGGACACGCGTGGGGACCGTATCCGTCTCCTCCGAGCCTTGGCTCAGGGTGAGAAAGGAATGTTTTCCTTTAACTGACAGAACTCGCGCTTTTGGAGAAGTTACTCCGAGTGTTTTGCTCTTAATAGAAATGAAAGTTCTCAGTGGTGAGTGGAGCGCAGTCTTGCGAGCGCAGTCTGCGGAGACTGGCTTCCAAAGGCACCTCTCGAACCTGTTGGAAGCTTGAGACAGACATGAAAGAGAAAGCACTTGTCCTTTGATTCCAAAGAAGGTTCTTGGAGATTGCTTTTTATTTATGCCTCCAGATTCTTCCGAGGGAAGAGCTGCGAGGAGTTTGGTAATCAGAAATCTCGGGCTGTTTTCCCAGAGCTTTAGGGTGCCAGGAGAGAGGCACAGGGCGCCGTTCGGTCACTTCATCGCGAAGTCAATCCTGAATCTTCTTTTCCCAGGACGGAGAAATATTTTATAAAACTGAGTTGAGGAAAGAAAAAGCTGCCCAACGCGGCTACGGGGAGCAATGAATGAAGTTAGAGTTTATTCGAGTTATCTTAACAAGATGCTCGTAATGCGAATAGTAAAGACTGCTTAGACCGAGCAGCTCCACGACCGCTCAGTCCCCCCGCACCCACCCACCCCCTTCCCTGGGACCGAGCGCTCGCAGAAATTCTCCCCCGCGGTTTGTCTCCTCTCCCTCGGGCTTTCTGAGAATCTCTGTCTTTCCCTTTCTGTCGGTCTCTCCTCCACTGCTCCTGCCCCCGCCCAACCTCCGCCCCCGCTCCCCAGGGTTGGAAACTCCGCGGAGGAGCCCGGGTCACAATGGTGCGTTTCACGGTTTCCTCCACATACTTCACCAAGGGGAGGGGAACACGGGGGTGTTCCTTTGGTCTGCCCACGAGAAAGAAAGGGGCTTTGACAGAGGTAGATATTTCTTCCTAATTTACAACCCCCAGGCTCCGTGCTCCCGGCCCCGGCGGCTGCGAGCAGCAGCGGCGGAACGTGTTTCCAGGCGCGGCGGCTTTGCCTAGGTAACCGGCCATTTGGGGGAGGCGGAGAGCCGTGGGGCGCTCGGCTTGGCTGTCGGAAACGTGGTGTTGCACTCTCCCGCGAACGCTGGGCGCTCGAGGGGAGCCCCTTCCTTGAGGAGACGCGACCCTTAGCCCCTGGAGTCAGAGGCCGATCCTCGGAGAAAGACTTCGCTTGAAAGGCGCCCGGGGAAAGGCGGGAATGTGGGAACCTACTGGAGGAGGTGGTGGGAGGTTGCTGGAGACCCCCACTGAAGATGCCAGGGGGACGGGAAGCACATGCTACAGCGGTGGGAAGATCTTCCCTTGCTTGCGCTAGAGCGAGAGCAAGCTTTCCGTAGGATCAGCTGGGGCTGAGGGTAGCAAAGGAATCCCCTATTTCTCGGCCGTGGAGGACTTTCTGGACCTGGGGACTCCGAGCCCCTCTCTCTCTCTTCCTTCAGGCCAGCCCAGGGCGCAGGGGCGGCGGGGGTCGAAACTTACACGACCTTCTCGGCCGCGCACCAGCGAAGGATTTTGGGTTTTTTTTTTTCGACTCCGCGTTCCCACTCCTCGAGCTGTGAGTGGGTCCGGGCAAAGGGGGCGCTGTAGGCCAGAGTTTGGGCCAGTGGGATCCTTCCCCGAAGCCCGCGGGGCTGCACTTCCAGCTACAAAGTTTCGCTGAGGCTGTGCGCAGAGCGCTCGCCCCAGAGCCGCGCTCCGCGTCCTCCGGAATGTGCCCCCTCCGGGCCGCTGGATGGCCCCGAACGTCTAAGTCGCCCACCCTCGGGGATACCGCCCGCTGGGTGCAGAGGGCCTCCCCCCGCCCGCCCCACTGGCCTCAACGCCAACCGCCTTGTCGCCTTGTTTCCAGTGCGGGCCTATTTCCACTGTGCCCTTTTGTTTGCTTGACCCCTGGCCCCCGAAACTCGCGGCTAATAAGAAACGAAGCTCCATTAGCATTTAGAATGAAAAGCGCAGACTTTCTTAATTCCTCGGGGCATTCATGCATTCGTTCCGGACCTTGTGTATTTCCTATGCAACGTGTAAAATTTGTATTGGGGGGGAGGGTGGAATTGGAAAATGGCTATTTTCCGCTCGTGCACACTCACTGATCCCGATTTCGGGCAGAACTCTTTCCTCAAGTGTTCTCCTTTCTTCGGTTTTCCTCACTTCGCGAGCTCGGAACCAATTGTGGGGGCAGAGAGATCAATTTCTGGGTGACGACAGGCTGCGCGTTTTTTAGCCTCGATTCGGGTGCCACAAAACGGCGGTGAACGCACTGGGTGCTGGGCAACCCATACTCGGCTCCCCCAAGGCGGTGTAATGCTTCTTGCCCAGGGACTCCGTTCACCTTAAGCACTGCTTTCTTACCCTTATAATTCTTTGTAATTAACGTAGCATTCCTCGAGGCCCCCACCAACACCCCAACGCGCCCGGCCCAGGCCGCGGTGACCCCGCCTGGTCCCGCTGTGACCTCTGTCCTCTCTCCCGGTGCCCGCAGAGCCCACTGCGGAAGAGCGCAGCCCGGCAAGCCCCAGGCCTGAGACTGGACCCTCGGCAGAGCCGGGCAGCACCGCAGCCGCTTCGCCTCGCCGGACGTCCCCCGCTTCTACACTCTCAGCCTCCGCTGGAGAGACCCCCAGCCCCACCATTCAGCGCGCAAGATATCCTCCAGGTAGGTCTGAAGGCACGACCCCTTATTCCTCGCAGGCTGGAAGAAGTGGGGGAGGGGATGGGCCCTGGGTCCCTGGCAGGGGCGGGCTGGTCGACTTGCCTAGCGCCAGGACAGTGACTGCTGGCCGAGCATTTCACAGCACAGGTGGCTTCTTTGCACGAAGCTCCTCTGGATACCACACCCTGTTGCTACCGAGTGGAGGAGCCAGATTAAATTAAGCGTTGCATTTTTCAAAAATATTTTTCCTAAGAAAAATGCAAATACACCGATAGATTAGGATCTTTTAATACACTGTAATGTCATGTTTGCTGTCCTTTTATATCCGGTTTACGCATTTAAGAGTATTGGGATCATTTTGAGCTCAACAGCATTTATGTTTGTATAAAATCCAAATCATTTGGGTGCAGAAGTTTGGGTTCCTGAAGCTCAGAGGGAAAGAGAAAAAGCATTTGAACTGAAACTTAAGGAGTCAATTTGAGCTGGGCAAAAGAAAGAATTGCAGGTTTGACTTGTAACACCTTTTTATGCATTTGTGAAAGGAATACCAAGTGCCTGGCCTGTGTAGGCACCAAAGACAGGCAGATAAGTAGATCTCAGTCCCAGCCAACTCATCTTCTAGCTGGAAACCTCAGAAAGACACAAAGGAGAGCAATAGGGAAGGATTGGCAAGGAAGAATGACAGAAAAGACCAATGGAGAAATCCTAGAGGTGCTGAAGGGCAAAGGAGAATAGATGAAACATCAGGAAGTGTTCTTTCTTTTAAATGATTAGTCTTTCATTTCACCCCAACAACTGGACAGCAGGATAAGAAATCCTTTAACTTCAAGCTGTGAGTGTGTTTTTAAGGCCCTGCTTGGAAAATAAAGGCTTGAACTGGCCTCTCCTCATCACTGCTTCTTCCAACAGGCCCTCATCACCTTTTTTCAAGTCAAGATTTCATCCCATACACGCATGACTCAGTCAGATTTGGAAATGTGGGTAAGAGAAAGATGTCAAAGGAAATGAGAAGCACTCACTTTTCTATTAGTCACACCTTCTACACCATAGGCTCCAAAGACACGTTAAGCACCTGGTTTTCCTTTGGTTCAGAAAAACCAACCACCAGAAACTGCCCGTTTCACTATTTCTATTTAGCCATAAAGAAAGGGAAATAATTAGATAAATAAATCACCTACCGGAACCAGTAATTCTCAGGGCCTTCTCATCCAGCTCAACCTCTCTTTACAATAGTAAGCTCCCTGGATACCAGGTGCTTTGGGGGCTCAACTTGGTCAAACTGGCAGAGAAACTAAGCCTCTGAAGAAACTGCTTTCTTTTCCAGGGGTACTAATCCTTCTGTCATAAGAAAATATGTAGACAAACTCACCTATTATGATAGTGGGAAAACAGTGTCATAAAACAGCCATGGATATATTTTATGTCAGAATTGGAAATATATATATATATACACTGTCTATGGCAGAGAGCAGGTTTGGTGGGTGTTTTGTTGCAGCTGCTGATCTTTTTCTTTGCAGATGGCACAAACTCCCCCGAGTCCATTTCCTGGGCCTACGTTCCCACCTCGCCACCTAGCTGGCTGAAGTCATCAACAGGGGTCCAGTTTGCGCAGGCTGTTAGCCCTGTTTGGAGGAGTGGGGAGGGGGTGGGAGAAAGCAACCACAACCTGTGTGTGGGTAGCCTCAGTTGGCACTTGTAAAATGTTAGAACGTCACTCTCTCCCTTGGCCAGTAAGTCCCACGCAGGACACCTTTTTTTGACTAACTTAGAGGTTTATAAATCAATGCCTGTGACTTGGGTGACCAGTGGCCTCTTTCCTCAAAATTAAACCAACAGGGCTTTCACTGGCTTTCTTTTTGTTCTCCCACCTGTGGCTGAGGCCACTGCAATTAGTGTCTAGGGCTCAAAACCACTTTGTTAAAACATCCCTGGGTTTATGAGGGAAGAAATCAAATTTCCCACATCTGGTAGAGGATAGGGCAAGGGAGGGGAGGTGGGCACAGAGGCCCCCAGGAGGCCGGGCTTGAGCATCTTGCGGCCCCTTTGACAGTCTGCCAGGGATTCAGCTTTCTTCCCAGGGAAGAAAGGAAGGAGGAAAGTAAGCATGGGGCTTTAAATCTATGCTACCAGAAGGAGGAAAGGCTATCACTTCCCCTCTATTTCCCAGATTAGAGTGCAAAGAATTCACTGCGACCTATTAGCTGGGAAAGAGAGCGCTGACTGGCTTCTGAAAGAGCCTTCCTTTTCCCTGTCCTTGCAGATATGCCCTGCGTGCAAGCCCAGTATAGCCCTTCGCCTCCAGGTTCCAGTTATGCAGCGCAGACCTACGGCTCAGCGGAATACACCACCGAGATCATGAACCCCGACTACACCAAGCTGACCATGGACCTCGGCAGCACCGAGATCACGGCCACGGCCACCACGTCCCTGCCCAGCTTCAGTACCTTCATGGAGGGCTACTCGAGCAACTACGAACTCAAGCCCTCCTGCCTGTACCAAATGCCGCCATCGGGGCCGCGGCCCTTGATCAAGATGGAGGAGGGCCGCGCGCACGGCTACCACCATCACCACCATCACCACCACCACCACCACCATCACCAGCAGCAGCAGCAGCAGCCATCCATTCCGCCCCCCTCCGGCCCGGAGGACGAGGTGCTGCCCAGCACCTCCATGTACTTCAAGCAGTCCCCGCCGTCCACCCCGACCACGCCGGGCTTCCCCCCGCAGGCGGGGGCGCTGTGGGACGACGCGCTGCCCTCCGCGCAGGGCTGCCTCGCGCCCGGCCCGCTGCTCGACCCGCCGATGAAGGCGGTGCCCACGGTGGCCGGCGCGCGCTTCCCGCTCTTCCACTTCAAGACCTCGCCGCCGCACCCGCCTGCGCCCAGCCCGGCCGGCGGCCACCACCTGGCCTACGACCCGACGGCCGCCGCCGCGCTCAGCCTGCCGCTGGGAGCCGCCGCCGCCGCGGGCAGCCAGGCCGCCGCGCTCGAGGGCCACTCGTACGGGCTGCCGCTGCCCAAGAGGGCGGCCGCGCTGGCCTTCTCGCCGCTCGGCCTCACCGCCTCCCCCACCGCGTCCAGCCTGCTGGCCGAGAGCCCCAGCCTGCCGTCGCCGCCCAACAGGAGTTCGTCGTCGGGCGAGGGCACGTGCGCCGTGTGCGGGGACAACGCCGCCTGCCAGCACTACGGCGTGCGCACCTGCGAGGGCTGCAAAGGCTTCTTCAAGGTGAGCTCACGCCCGCTCCGGGCGCCCCTCCCCTCGCCTCCGCAGCCACCGCTCAAGTGAGCGTCTGAGTGGATCCTTCCCGGTTGGAGAGTTGTCACTGTTGTTGCGTGCGTTCCTGTGGCCTTTCCCGGCACCTTCACGTCCACTTTCTCGGGGGCTTTTAACTTGAGGTCCTTTACAGGAGGCCGTCCCTGGGCACTTGAGGGAGTGTGGACCTCCCTACGTGGCTTTACCCTCTGAGCTTTATTCTGGAGAGAGCCTTCAGCAGATTCTCAAAAGGATCTGTGATCTCAGAAATGCGAAGTCCTCTCTGCATTCCTCCTCTGTCCATCCAGCAGTGTCTGAAGGATAGGGTCTGTGTGCCGGGCCTTGGACGCTTGTATCTCATTTAGTCCTCATAGTAAGAGCTAGGACTCTAGAATCAGAACTGAGGTTGAGTTCTGGCCACCCGCTGGCTATTTTTATTAACAGGTCTTGAAGGTGGATATTAATTACCCTTGTTTCATAGATGAGGAAATGGAGGCTCAGAGAGGTTATTCCACTGTCCCAGGACACACACTCAGAGAGCGAGATGGAGGCAGGATGCCAACTCATGTTTGCATGATGCCACCGGGCACACCTTCACAGCTCTGGAGAGGCAGAATATGCAGGGGCAACTGGCTGGCTGCAGTTTGGGGCAGCTCCCTCCATAGAAGATAGAAGCTGGGGTCTCACCAATCCACACCACCTCTGTGCCCCACACACTGTGCCAGCTGTGGACACTGTTCATTATCTCAAAGCCCCAAAGGAGAATTTTACAGTGGGAGGGTCTAGCCTTCCCCATATTTTCCCCATAAGGAAGCTGATGCCTGGAGAGCTGTGCAGCCTGTAAACAGTGATTTAGAGGCACAGGGACAGTTCCAGCTGGTTTCTCCTGACTCTTGAGTTCAGTGCTCTTTCCATCACTCAGGGGAGAGAGGCCTTGCTCTCTTGCTGCTCTGCTTTTCCTCTTGAGTCCCTGACTTCTTCAGACACTTAATTCTGTGCCACCCTCCCCACTCCCCCTGGCCGTTATCTCAGGCGTTTGCAAACCCATAAATGTTCTCCCACAAAAATCATGCCCTAGCTTCCAGTGCTGGGCAGAGTGGAGGGAGAGGGGAAGCTAGATGCTGACTGGATAACTAGGATTTGGGAGGCCAATAGGATGTATCTGGGAGCATGCTGAAATTGGAGTCTGAACGCTCAAATAAGAATCCTCGATCTGTCACCTACCCACTGTGTGACGTTGGGTATGACACGTCTTTCTAGGCCTCGGTTTCCCCATCAGGTGAATAAAATTCAGAGAAAGGCTATGAGTATTAAATGAGATAAAACACTTATGAAAGTACTTTAGAATCTTTAAAGGTCCATAAAACAATAGTTCATTATTAAATGAAAACTATAAAGTATTTGTAAAAATGCACATGTTTGTGGATTGGTATACACACCAAGCAGCAACAGTTATTTTTGATCTCGAGATAGGAATCATGTGACTAATTAAATTCTGCAGATAAATGAGAAAATGCTTGTGGAAAGACTTTGCAATATGTTAAGTGCCGTAAAGGACGTAAGCAAGATTATGATATTTTAAACGTGGAACCCTCAGTTTAGCCACTTTTTTCCTGTCTTAACTATCGAGCTTTACCAGGGTTACTTTCAAGTAACTGCATTCCTTTGGCAGATTTGATTTTTACAGCGTTTCAGTGGAAATGCTGAAGGGCAGTTAAACAGGCAGCCGAAAAGGGGGAAAGGAAGAAAAACAGTTAGGAGAGGTAGGAGTAATCCACAAATATAATCACCCCTGAATAACTGAGTGGACCAAAAGACAGGAGCGGTAATACATTCCTAGTCTGGAAATGTCAATTAAGTGTTCCCCAACAGTGTCCCTTTTCTGCAGCAATCCCTTGAAAACAAATCTATACTTGAAAGGGTGGGGGTAGGCTGGGGGAGAACCACCCCACGGATCTGTTAATTAAGGGAACGAGAGCAGGTTTTACCCAGTGGCTTTCTACCATTAAATTGAATTCTTTAAAAATGTGACATGAAGTGCAGTTAATGATGGAAATTCAGTGATTGAACCGTAATGATCTTTCCTGTCCTTAACCTGGGCAGGCACACACAGATGTGGGGAAGGTTTCAGGTTATTGGGAAAATGCACACCTGAAGCAAAATGCCACCAGCACTCAAATTGGCATACAGCCTTGGAGATGATGGCAAGAAATAGAGCTTTAGAAATTACTGCGTGTTCAATGAAAGAGAGCTTCATTCAGGAAATGGTTTCCTACCCTTACAGACGGCTGAGAATTTAAATGTGGAAACTCAGAAGTATGCTTGTGATTTGGAATTTTGCATTTAAACTAAATGTATCTGGCTTTGTTCGATTTTTAAAGTTTTATATAAGCAGTTTAGAAACTATCTCCTAAAATGAAATTAAAGAGAGGTGAGGATTGCTGAAAACCAAAGATTGAAAGGAAATCTAGAATTCTGGACACAAAATAGATCACTAATCCCAAATTACCTGGATTTATTTATTTTTTTAATGCAGCCAAGGCTTATCAAATAAATTCCAACTTTCTGCTCTATTTGGAGTTGCATAGATTCAGGTAATTCCTGAATGATTTCACTCTACAGTGGTAAATACACATCCATTTGCACAAATGTTTTTAATTTTTTAAAAATGAAGCACTTTTAAATCTGGAGCATAAAATATGCTTAATTATTTCTCCATGTGTCATTTTAAAATTATATGTGATTCTAAATCATACATTTTATATCCAAGTCCAAATGTTATGATGTGTCTTTTACAATATGTCTATCTTGATGTCTATGTCAATAGTCATTTATGAAATAACCTATTAATGGGAATTTTTATTGAGAATACATGGCTCTTATATTTCCTTCTTTCTCTCACCCATTTTTTTTTTTTCCTTTCTTGGGCGTGACAGTGGTTTTCAGTATCCAATTTTAAGATTTTCCTTTTTCAAATATCAGAAGTGTCTGGTTTACCACATATATTCTTTTAAAGTGAAAATAAAGGACACAGGCTGATTAAGTGATTTTGGGGGGCTTAAAACATTATTTCCTATATGTTTTAACCAGACTAGTCCAGATTTTTGCTCTTTATGATTTCATCTCTGTTGGGGAACAAAGCCAGTTACTGTGATATTTGACTTAGAATAGTGATAGCCAGCAAAGTACATCCTAGATAATTTTGATTTTATTTTAATAAGGTCAGCAATAATCAGGGGAGTGGAACAAGTAGAAAATTGTTCCCAGAGGGATATTAAAAGTGGAGATAATGTAATCCTCCAAGGTATGATATGTTGACCTGGTAATTTCAGATATGATTTTATCACTCAGACTTGGTCGTCTCCTGAGACTTGCTTCAGAACAATCCGAGATGATTTTCATTGTCAGCAGCTAACACTAATAAAATTGTTTTTCCTGCAGGCTAGCGTGTTAGGAAATTAAATTTATCTAATTATACGAATTGCACTGTCGCTTTTCACATTGTAATTAAAATACATCTTGTCAGGTCCTACCTCTTTCCAGAAACTATTAGTTGACTATCTCTGTATTGTATTTTCGCAGAGAACGGTGCAGAAAAATGCAAAATATGTTTGCCTGGCAAATAAAAACTGCCCTGTAGACAAGAGACGTCGAAACCGATGTCAGTACTGTCGATTTCAGAAGTGTCTCAGTGTCGGAATGGTTAAAGAAGGTATGGATATAATGCTTTTTATCCATCTTGCTGATACGTATTCTCAGATATCACTGAAAAAATGTTAATGTTTACGTTGGGGTGGGGAATTTTCCTTGTTTCCCTTTCCTTCCAACATTTTCCTTTTACGATGTATATTTACATTTAAAAATAGCTGAGGACTCCTTATTCTAATTTCTCAAAATCAATAGAGAGCTTGTGTACATACATCTTTGTTCTATTTAAGAAGGAGACTTTTAGGGCTAATTCATTACCAAATGTAAGTATGGGGTGGCTTTTATGCTGCCTGTTTCAACTCTCATTAAATCATTGTGTGGATATTTTTCTCAACTTATTGCCACTTTTAAATGGTTGGTCTCATTAATGATGGCTCAACTGTAAAGTGTTTTGATTCATTTTTGTGATTTATGGCTATTCATGGCTATCTCTGAAGACGTTTCTCCTTGCTTTCTCTCGGCGTCAGTTGTCCGTACAGATAGTCTGAAAGGGAGGAGAGGTCGGCTGCCTTCCAAACCAAAGAGCCCGTTACAGCAGGAACCTTCTCAGCCCTCTCCACCGTCTCCTCCGATCTGCATGATGAATGCCCTTGTCCGAGCTTTAACAGACTCAACGCCCAGAGATCTCGATTATTCCAGAGTAAGTTTTATGATGTCCTCCTTTTGAATGAACGATCCAAGTCTCTATTCATGATACTAGTAATAAGAGTTGTTTGAATGACTTTGCGTCTGGCACTGTGCTGAATAGTTCTCGTACCTTTTCTATAGTTCTCACTTCATTTAGCAATGCTGGTGCATCCATTGCACCAAATAATTTTTGCCTTATTGCATCTCTAAATGCCTTAACAAATGACCCTGACAGTGCTGCACCTGTCGTACCCATTGTTGCAGGATTCCTAGCGGTTGCCAGTGAAAGTCTGCACAGATGAATTACAATTTGTAGATTTCTTCCGTGGTTTAGACAGAGTGACTACTGGTTTTTTCATACTGTGGTCAAATCCTCTGGGTGAGCCTCAAGTTATCTTTAAGCAGTTTACCCAATTGCATCACCATTGTTTGACTTGCTGCTTATTCAGAGAGATTAGACCATTGATGGAGGGAGTAAACTCTGGCCTCGACATCATCAGGTGTTGTCAGGAGGACTAGGATGGAGCGCCGCCTCTGCTGCTTCCTGCCTGTGTCACCTGGCTCCTGCTCTGGGCTTTCTCATCCCTACAGTGGAGATGATTACAATATTTAACCCTGGAGGGATGTTTTGCACATCAGTCACACAGGAATGGCGGTAGAGAAAACATTTGAAAACCGTAAATGATTACGGGTGTTGTTATTTAAGTCACCCAAACATATCAACATTTTTATTTCATGTGGGATATAATAAAATAGCCTCGGTTTGAATTCTGAAAATTTCCAGGAATTTGGATAACATGGAGAAGAACCATGAAAAAGGCTTTTCTGAGCAAATGTGTAAACATTACTGGAAGGCATTTTTATAAAGAGTTAGAAAAGCAAACATCTAGTAAGACAGGGTCTCTTCAAAGAAGGAAGGGAAAAGGTCACAATTATTGAGCAATTTCTACATGCTTGACATTGTGGTACGTTGTCTCGTTTAACCATTTAAAGAAGCACGAACTGTAGGATAGTCACCGCCACTCTAAGACAAGACAACTTAGAACCACAGTTTGCACACAGATGAGAGAGACACCAGTCCAGGGATCCCTACTGGTCCAGCTGGCTTGGCAGCTACTACCAGATTGCCCTCCCCAGGTCTAATCATTATTTCAAACTCCTGGTAGAACGGCTGGCGTCGAGTGTGAGTGTGTCTGCTATGTACCCCCCTTTTAGGCTGCAGTGTTGATGGAAACGAAGGGGTGGTTGGTGTACCCGCTGTGATCCTCCTTCCCTCAGCCCCATGCTCATTATGGGCTGTGAAGCCTCCTCTCTGCACCTGATCACAAGACTTCACATGAGAAGCATGGTAGACCCTTAGCACCAAAGGTTGAGGACTCTTATTCTGATTACAAGTAGCATCTCTTGACTAAAGTCAATTCTCAAATAGTAGTCTAGCAGAATAATGCAGGGGTTAAGGACTTAGGCTTCGGAACCATGCAGGCCTAGATTAGAATCCCAACACCATCATTTACCTGCTGGGTGACCTTGAGCAACTGTTCAGCCTTTTAATGCCTCAGCTTCCTCATCTGTGTTATGGAGTGTAATATCTACTTCCTGGGGTTGCTTGTGAAGAATAAATAAGATGATACTTGTCAAAGCTTTAGCACAGTGCCCTGTATGTTATCTTCTTGACCTAAACCTCATTCAACCATTTGTTGACTGTTCTGATGAGTAGGAACATTATACGTGTCAGGTGCCATGTAGCAATACCATTAAGATAAGTGTTTTGATCTCTGTTTCACAGATGAGGAGATTAAAATTGAGAAAGGCTGAAGGACTGACTTGCCCAAGGTCACACAACTAATGTGTATCAGAGATAGAATTAGAATGCAAATGTATTGGACCCCAAATACCAAGCTTCCCTGAGTCTCCGGTTTCAGGGAGAGTAGGTGCTAGAAAAGCGTTCGGGGATAAAGATTTCTCCTCCCCGAAGCCACTCTGGCCTCCCTCATGCAATTTGTCTGAGTTAATGAAGTTTCTCCACTCTGCCCACGCTGAGGCTACAGCATACAATCTGACATGGTTCCAGGGCGTTTGAAATCACTATTGATGGTCAGTCCAGAGAATTTAGGCCCCAAAAGTGATTTTTTGGCCCCAGATTATCCAATTACTGGTCTACATGGCCTAATTAGTGATTCAGTGGCGAACCCTCCGCAGCACTTTGAGTTGTCCCAGCTGGGAACTGTCGCCACGCTGAAAAATCAATGCAGCCGGTTTGCTTGCCTCTGCACCATTCAGTGTGTTAGACTAGAGTCATCATCCTCATCAACAAACATTTATCCAATTTAATTGTTAGCTTTGTCCAAAATAGCAGATTGACCACGCCAGCGTCTGGGTCGCATTGATACTACCTTTGGGGCCTGGCTCAATTTCGCAAAGCGTATTTATTTTAATTGCATTGTTTTGGAATCAGGTTGAACCTCATAACTTGGATTCTCCTGCCTAGATAGCTTTACGAAATTATCAAAAATTGGACCCAAATCAATTAAATTAAAAGACTTTTTAAAAAATACAGTGAGTTTTCATTAAAAACTTGGATGAAGGCATAGAAGCATGCTGATCACATTTGCAGATGACAGAAAGCTGGGAGGGATCACTAATATGATGGATGTCAGTATCAACATTCAGAGTGATTTCGACAGGTTGGAACAGGATGGGCTGAAACCATCACGAGGAAAGTTAACAAAAATAAATGTGATGCTCAGCATTTAGAATTTTAAAACATGGGAGAGCCTTAGCCTGTCAGTGGTTCATGTTAAGAAGATCTCGGGAGTTTATTCCACACACACTCCATGTGAACCAACAAAGTGTACGTTTGGTGGGAGGGAGAGATGCTAAATTACCTGAGGCTGCAGTAGTAGAAGTATGGGACCAGAACCAAGTGGGTGGTGGTCCTACGGACTCTGTCCTGTCAGACCGCCATGAAGTCCAGCTCCAAGCTGGGGTTTAAGAGGCATGTGAACACATTGTTTCTGGAAACTTGTAAGGTATGGTTGGAGGGAATGGAAGTATGTAGACAGGAAGGGGGAAAGTTTGGCAGGTTTAGGTCACTCTTTTGCCCTGTGGCAAAGAGGACTGTTGCTCCCAAGGGCAGATCTGGAGGGAGAGGGAGGGGCCCCTTCCAGTTCACTCTGAAGACAAGGGTGAGCGCTCTCAGCCACAAGAGCTGCTGTGGGAGTGAGCCCATCCACACAGGAAGGAACTAAGGAGGGCACGCGACAGGGTTTCTCACAAGCGGAGAGGTTATTCTGGATAATATTAAGTTCCATCCACCTCTAAGATTTTATTTATCATCATATTGTCCCTAAGCGCAAGTGATTATATATACGTATACAAATAAGGATATGTGTTAAGTATCATGTTAGTTAACAAGATTGAACTTGCTTTGTTCTCTAAAAAACACATTAACATAAAGTGAGTGAAGCGTAATGCGTTTATTGAGTGCTTATTTTGAGCTAGGCACCATCACATACATTCTTACATCATTTCATTTAAGCCCTAGCTTTATGTGGTATAGTTTCTGGTTTCAGCAATTTTTTTAAGAATGTCATTCATGGAAACTCAATTTTCATAATGGCCTCTCCTCAAAGTTTTATATTTACAAATTCAAAGCACTGGAGGTGACCTTGAGATTATCTCATCCAACCCCCATATTTTCAGAGGAATAAAGAAAGGCTTAAAGGGGTTCCTTGTGCAGAGCCAGGGCTAGATCCGAGTCTCATCAATCAAGGTGATATGTTTCTACTTCTTCTGTGTAATGGCAGTTTACTAGCTTTTTTTAAAAAATTGAAGTTTAGGGGCCGGCCTTGTGGCTTAGTGGTTAAGTTTGCGCACTCCACTTCAGTGGCCCAGGGTTTGCAGTTTCGGATCCTGGGCACAGACCTACAAACTGCTCCTCAAGCCATGCTGTGGCAGCATCCCACATACAAGATAGAGGAAGATTGGCACAGATGTTAGCTCAGCGACAGTATTCCTCAAGCAAAAAAAACAGGAAGATCGGCAACAGATGTTAACTCAAGGCCAATCTTCCTCACCAAAAATAAATAAATAAATAAAAATTGAAGTTTATTAGATTTTTAAAAATTAAATAATAGCAATATATACCCATTGGTTTTTAAAAAGGCAAACTATTTAGAAGTGGATAAAGTGAGAAATGAAAGTCTCCTCTTCATTTTTTCCTGCCCAATCCTACTCTTCAACAGTAACGGATGTTAACATTTTAGTGTGTATCCATAATTTATTACGTTTTAACTAAGAATTTGCCCTGTCAGGTTTGAGTCAGACAGTTGATTTGAGCAAAATGATTTATTAAAGATGCTAGCTTCCCCCAGCGAATCAGGTCAATAGAGAAATGATAAAATATTTGCTGCCAGACAAGTATATTTTAATCTTCTTGTACCAGCATAGGTGCCTTTAAGGTAGGAAGCGAGCAGTTTTCCCTGTTGGTGGGAAAGGGAGGTGGGGCTGTGTTCCAAGTCACAGAGGGAATGAACGTTTTAGAGGCCAGAAAGCAAGCTCCTCGCTCTGTGAAGCATTCCTGGCTCGGGGACCTTCAGTTCTCCTTTGGGCCAAGCTTCTCCCCTTCAAAAGTGAGCTCAGATCGTTGTATATCAGTGCAGTCAAAACATGTCACGTTTGATTTCTTTCTCCTCAAAATGTTGCTATTCTCTGCCCCACAGTTGCTTTTAATTTAGCAATACATGTATATATAGATACCGGGCTTGGCTTCAGAACCTGCATAATTGCTAATGAGAAAATATTCTGCACATCCTCATTAGTTGGTCATTTCAAGTATTTTTCAGCGAACTATGATGTTCTCTGGTAATTGGTGTCACTTAGTGTAGTAACAGACTCCAAATACGAGAGATATTGCTCAGATAGAACCAGGCACCAGCAAATGGTATTTAAATATGTTAACAAGATAGGCAAGAAGCAACGTGGCTAACGCGTGTTAGACCTACCGAGCAAACGGCATAAAGACCGCAAAGAGAGTGGTTTTGTGAAGCTGCGCAGAAGACCCTCTCAAATTGCCACCAATTCACTAGATGATCTCAGGCCAGTTCCTGGCCCTCTGTGGGCCTCAGTTTCCTTGTCTCAATGGGGAGGAGATTGGACTAAATGCACTCCCACGATCCCTTCCAGCCCTCTCATTCCCTGACCCTCCGGCCATTATCCGGGCTGTAATTCCACTAGGTGTGCAGGGCAGCATTCCCCAACGTGTTGGGCCCAGATGCCTCTATCAGAAAGAGCCAGGGTGTTTGCCTAGAAATGCAGATTTCCGGGGCCACACCCAGACTACTGGATCAGAATTGGGGGTTCGGGGGGAGGCGGGCAGGCATCTGTATCTTAACAAGCGCCCCGGAGGATTCGTTAGCACACTAAGGTTTGAGAACCACCCATCTAGTTCAATAAGAACAATTCAATTTTACCTCGAATCTCCTATTTCCCAGCTTTTCTGGAGGTTGAGAAGGAATGAGCAATAGAGATAGATTTCCGAGAAAGTAATTAATTCATTTAGCAAATATTTAGTCAAAGGCTACTGGGAATTATATTCATTGCCAATTTTTAAAGTGTCACTTTTTACAGTGTAAGAACCTAAGAATATGTATATATAGTTTGGCTCATAGAACAATCATGTCTAAAATACAAAATATAAAGACCCTGGGAAAAGTAATATTCTAAGGGGAGATAAAAATGGTCTTAGTATATTTTACATATTGATCCTGGAGTGACAGTGAGACAGAGCAAATGTAAGATTCCACTCTGCTATGAAAACATCACATTGCTAATATTTTTAGGGCTGGTGTTCACCAAGGCTCTCACTTAATTCCCATTCAAATAACTTATTTCCGGCCTGGGCTGTTGCTGAAGTCTGACTTGTACAGCTGTGTTATCACCATATAAAATGTATAGGCTCATCTTAACTTAAATAATATCCATTGTTTGCAGCTCTAGATTCTCATTCTAGGTGCTTCAGAGAACTCTCTACTAGGCATTAACTGTCGGTAGATGTCATACTATGTCTTTGACTAGTGGTAAAGCCAGATTTCTGATGGATCAATGATCCATATAGGCTGGAATAAAAAATTAGCATAAACAGGAAAAAAGATTCATTTGTAGAGTCTTTCTCTGTTTGGCCTATGTTTGATTGGAATGATCAGTAAACAAGTATTGCTAGCTTTTCATTGATAAACCGCAAACCCGCCTAACCCAGAGGCAGAGTGAGGTAGGGGAGCACAGAAGCAGAGATAGGGGTCTGGGTCTTCCAACTCCAGGGGCAGTACTCCTTGGTGAGGTTTTTACAAACTGCTAGGCCAGGCAGAGAAAGAACCGAAAATGTTTTTTTTCTGTCTCTTTAAATCCTATGCTCAGTAGAGGGGACACTCAGTCCGTCTTTTCCCCCAGCATTGGATGCTGACCCTCCAGTCACCCTCTAGTTATTGGTGGCTCAGGCTGAATCCGGTTTGGCTCCCGAATTCTGGAACGTGGACCAGAATCACTGCAGGTGGAGCCCAGAGGGGCTGGCTGGAGTCTGGCACGCCGGGCCTGCTGGCTTCCTCCTTGCTGGACTCCATCAGAGAAAACTGCACACGCAGGGGAGGCGGGGGCTGCATTTCCCCGTGTGCGGGATACATGAAACGTGAGCCCCGCAGGCGCGGAGGCCTGCCGAGGACCCTGGGTGAAAGCTAAGCGCTCTGGAGGATTCTGAGCAAATATTGGAAGAGGGGAGATTGTTGAGTTGTGAGCCCTGGCTTCAGGGGGAGCTGCTAGGTCCCGCTCCCAGGGAAAAGTTTGCATCCTTTAGTCTTTTTCTCCCCATTTAACAAACTATTTTAAAACAAAATAATACTGAATTAGTGTGAAATTCTAGGCAAAAACATCATACCTGGTATGATTAGCAATGTTTAGAATCATCCAATGCAAGAGCCATTCCATGGAAGATTCACCTGGACAGACGATAATCTGGGCCATACAACACACCCTAACAAACTTAAAAAAATAGTGGGCTGGCCCTGTGGCTGCTTCAGTGGCCCCAGTTGGCCGATTCAGATCCTGGGCGTGGACCTCCTCCACTCAACAGCCACACTGTGGCAGCATCCCACATGCAAAATAGAGGAAGACTGGCACAGGTGTTAGTTCAGGGTGGATCTTCCTCACCCAAAAAAAAAAAAAGAAGAAAAGAATAGAAACCATGCAATGTGTGCTGTCAAACCACAGTGGAATTAAACCAGAAATCAATAACAGAAAGATAGCTGAATGCAAGAGCCGGAAGGAATCTTGGGGATCGGCTAGTCTAGTCACTTCCTACTTCAGAGGCAGAAACAGACCCAAAGAAGTTAAGTGACTTGTCTAGGGTTGCACAGCAAGTCAGTGCCAGAGCCCAGAGAAGGACCCCATGACCTGCTGCCCGAGCCAACTTTCTTTCCTCTGCTCCATATTCTCACTCACTTGGGAGTCTCACATGTAATGCTGGCAGCTTTCTAGAAGTGGTTCTGCTCTTACTTTCATCCTGCCCTTGGAGAACATATGGAATTAGATTCATAGAAGGATAGAAAGTAAAAAATTAAAATAAAATCTCTTGTTTACACTCTCCTCCAGTTACTACTGTGTGTGCTGAAAGGAGGTGGTGGCAAGTGTCTGTGACACCCTGATCCTGCTGCCGTCCTTGAATATCCGTGGAGACGACAACTGTTTCCTTCCCCCAGTACTTTGCTCCCGTGGTCCATGACACCACAGAACATCCAGGGCTTCGCAGAATCTGGGCCCTGGGTGGGGTTATTGGGAACAGGGAAGCCAGGGCTCTGACCTGGACCTGATGTTACAGGCTCCTAGAAAGTCAGGGCTGAAAATTAGTGAACTTCCAGCTCAACCCCTTCCCCCATTTTATAAATGTGGAAGCCAAGGGACAGTGATGGCTCCAAGTCTCATAACCGTTATCAGTATCAGCACTGTCATCGTTTGTTAATGATGTTAATAATGACACGTGTTCTATGTGTCAGGCCCTTCACATGTATTATCACATTTACTCGTTGCAACAAAATGTCAAGGAAGGTATTGTCCCCATTATACAGAGGAGAAAACTGAGGCTCAAAACAGTGAAGTCATTTATCCCAGATAACTAGTAAGCGTTAGAGCTAGGTTATTTCACAAATTAGGGGCCTGGGCAAATCTAGGATTAAAGTAGCTGACCTCTTGTCTCATGTTTCTTTTGTTGTTTCATGATGCCTCTTGGGAAAGCGCAAAGGAAAAAAAGACACAGTAAAGACAAGTGGCTCATTTCCTCACACCTGAGTAGTGCTACGATAAGCACCTGGCTGCTCATTTGCTGTTCCTCTCCAGCCAGGTTAGGGCATTGAGGCAAGCCTAGGCAGGCCTTCGACTATTTCATTGAACAATATTTAACGACTATTTATTGAAGGTCAATTATGTGCCGGTCACCTTGCTGCTGACGAAAAATGGGACCAAATGAACACACCCCTGCACACCTCCAATTAGAGCAAAGCGAAATGCTTTTTAAAACTATCCCACAGGCTGCCAGCTGGTAACGTCAGACATGCTAGCAGCCAGGAGGTGTAGGACCGGAAATCACAGGGCCGTGTTTAAGTCTTGGCCATACCGCTGTTGATTATGTAATTTGGGAGAGGCTTTTAGCCTCTCTGAGCCTCAGTTTCCTCACCTGTAAAATCAGGATTAAAATCTGTTTCCCCAGAAGATCAGTGGAGAGCAGGGATGCAACCCTTGGCTGCGTTGGTGTGAAGGAGATGATGTGCGTGTTTACGTGACTGTCTCTGCGGATCTCTTAAGCCTGTGTTGCTGGTTGTCCTTGACTGTTATCTTGCTGTATCAGTCTTCCTGCCTGAAGCAGGAAAGATTTTCCTCTGGTGATTTAAGCAAAACCCTGACTCTACCAGAGTATCCAAAAGCTGGGCAGAGACTTTGTTCCCACTGTACATTTCTTCTCTGGGGACCCTCTAGATCAGTGCTGTCCAATAGAATGTTCTGCAGTGATGGAAACGTTTTACACCGCATGTGGCTATTGAGCGCTTGAAATATGGCTAGTGTGACCAAGGAACTGATTTCTAATTGTATTTAATTTTCACTAATCTAAGGAACCACAAGTCCTGAGTTTGATGGCACACAGCTGCCTGGGACCTGCCCCAGAGACATTCTCCCCACCTGGTTTGTTTTATCTCACAGGAATCCATCTACAGCAAGCAAAAATCATTGTCCTCTTCTATTGGTTAATTCTGTGACTCCAAAACTTCAGTGTGCATAAGAATCACCTGGACATCTGGATAAAACAGTTTCTTGGGCCTACCCTCAGAGTTTCCGATTCTGTAGCTCTGGGCTGGGACCTGAGATTGTCATTCCGAGCACATTCCCGGGTGTTGCTGATGCTGCTGGTCCGGGGACCACACTTTGAGACCCATGGGCTAATTAAGCATCTTGTTTGGAGATAGCTGTGCTTTGGTGGCATGAGTAGATCCTGGAGGCCCACCCAGAGACAAACCCCTGAGGTGATGGTTCTTAACACTGGCTGCCCTGTGGAATCACCTGGGGGGGCGCTTAAAATTCCTGATGACCAGTTCCCATCCCAGACCAGTGAAATTAGAATCTCTGTCGGTATGACCCAGACATGAGTGTGTTTTAAAGCTCCCCAGATGATTGCAATCGAAATTGAAAACCGCTGCGCTAATGGGACTTAAGCATATTTCTTTGTCTTTTAAGTGGTAACAAAATTCACTCTATTTATATCACAGGACCATTGTGAGAATCAGATGAGACTGTGAATGCAAAAGGGTTTTATAAACTGTGGGACCTAAGAGTAAGGACTTAGGCGTTGCCAGTCTTGGAAGAGCCGATTTGCAAGAGATGCTCTTCTTGCTGATAAATTGAGATAACGCTGCTCTCCACGGTTTGCATTCTAGTACTGCCCCACTGACCAGGCCGCTGCCGGCACAGATGCTGAGCATGTGCAACAGTTCTACAACCTTCTGACAGCCTCCATTGATGTATCCAGAAGCTGGGCAGAAAAGATTCCCGGATTTACTGATCTCCCCAAAGAAGATCAGACATTACTTATAGAATCAGCCTTTTTGGAGCTGTTTGTTCTCAGACTTTCCATCAGGTAATTCCTATTCTTCTATCTTGCGTCAGTCCACTCCTTCCTTTGAAGAAGTTGGTAACCTGCTGTGTTTGTTACTGAGTCATTGGTGAAAAGTTTGCTCAAGAAGGAAATGGGAAATATGACCAAGCATTAAAAAACTGAGCGGTGAGCAGAGCGCTGGACGGGTTGCCAGGAATCCTGGGCTCTAGTCTCAGATCTAATACGGACTTACTGTAAATCCCTGAGCAAGTGACTTGCTTCTTGGGAAACTCAGTGTCCTTTGTGCAATGAGGAGGTCGGACCTGGAGACCTCCGAAGCCCTTGCAGCTCCCACATTCTGTGAATCTGGAGAGATTCTCACGGTGCATAAGGCATTCCCAAGGAGCAAGCGTTTGTCTTGAACATTGCATTTACCTCCCAGTTTCTATTTACAGGTCACTGTTCTGGTACACCAGGTGGGGCTCTAAAGAGTTCCCACAGCCTCTCAAACCCCAATGTTTACTCCGAGAGCGTAGCTTCTAGATCAAAAGATTTGGTTCAGCCTATCACGCTCGGTGACACCAAATACAAAGAGGCAATGATTTCTTAAAAAGCTAGAACCTGGGCTCTAAGCTCCTCTCATAGAGTCCACACATAGCATTTTAAATTCCATCTTCCTTGCAGTTGTATATTTTTAGAAGATGGTACCTACATGTCACCAAATATTATAGGAAAAAGCATCACCTTTTTCCTCTTTTTCTTCCCTACCTCCCCCTCCCCAATCACACGCTGTGTTACCAGAATCTCTCAGTTAAAGTACAGATTCCCACGCCTCATTCCCAGCTGTTTTGGTTTGGAACCACCTCGGAGGAAGTCCAGAAATCTGCGTTTTTAATTCATGCTCTGGCGATTCTGATGCTCGAGGTTTGAGGTCCAGGTCTTAAACTCTGAGGCTGAACCATTGTGTCCTGTGTGCACCTCTAGGGGGGCATCTGTGAGAGAGACAGAGGTGGAGTTACAACTAGAGTGCCAGTAATTAGCATAATTACAACCAATCCGGGAGGTGTGTGCAGGAGCCAGGCCAGCAATGTGACTGTCATCCATTAGACAGGCAACAAAAGATTAAGTAAGCAATAAGCTCCATGCAGGCAGACACCATCTTTGCCTTATTCACCAAGTTTTCTCCGTGCCTGGCTCCTGGAATGGCACATAATTAGTGGTCAGGAAATGCTAGAGTGAATGAATGAATATAGCTATTCATCTAAGAAGCATGGTTAAAGAGAGATTCATTTGTTAATGCAATTGGCTATAAGAGAGAAATATGTGGCAAGAGATATTAAAATTACAGGAAAGCTAAAGTTAAGGTATGGACCACATAGAGTTCAGAATTAGTCACGCCTGATACTCATCAAGCTCCTCTTGTGTACCAGGCACTGGGCATGGGCTTTCAAATCTTTTACTTTACAGTCATGCATCACTTAACAACAGAGGTATGCTCTGAGAAACGCATCATTAGGTGATTTTATCATTATGCGAACATCGTAGAGTGGACTAACACAAATCTGGACGGCATAGCCTGCTACACACCTAGGCTCTGTGGTACTAATCTTATGGGAGCACGGTCGCATATGTGGTCCGTCGTTGACTGAATGTTGTTATGCAGCACATGACTCTATTTAATTCCCACAACGATCGTAGGAGGTAGCAATTAGAAGTCCTGTTTTATACATAAGGAAAAGGAAGCCCAGAGAGATTAGAAGTGCCCAGGGCCCCTTAGCTAGGTGGTGATGTTTCACCAGAAGTTTCAGGGTGTCTTTCATGAGAGAGAGAAGAGTGGGATGATTATGGACATAATATAAACTATCACGGCAGATTTAGAAACAGCCCTCCGCAGCCCCCCTGTTAAAAGCAGAGAGGGTAATACAAAATAAGCTCTCTTTTCACTTTAAGGCGCTTGTCAGTTTCTGATTGACTTCTGGCGGTCGCAGTGACTCGGTGGTTTTAGAGTCTGCACAATGGAATTGTAGTGTCTAGCGTCAGGCCTTATCAGTTTCTGACATTCAAGGAAATGAGGGGGAAGTCCTGGTGAGGGAGCGCTAAAGAGAACAGTCTCAGGTTCATGGCAGAGGCCACGCACTGGGCTTCACTTCCACAGTCTGTGAGCGCCTGCTCCTCTGTGTCCCGTCCCAGGGGGAGCCAGTAATTGACTCTAGTAATAAGAAATCAGGTGCCCCACCGCCAGCTTCCCCGGGGGCTGATGCTCAGCAAGAAAGTTAGCACAGACGCCTGGTGGTGGCTGTGCATCCCTGGAGTACCCTCTTCTTCCTCGAGGGCACCCGGGCAGATTTCACAACACCACACTACTTCTGAACGCTGCCCCATGGCTGTGCGGGTATCTCTGTGGTGTGATGGTGTCCTGTCCGACAGACCGAACAGACCTGTCTAACGTATCTCCATCCTCCGCCCCCCACGACTTTGTCTTGTAGGTCGAACACTGCTGAAGATAAGTTTGTGTTCTGCAATGGACTTGTCCTGCATCGACTTCAGTGCCTTCGTGGATTTGGGGAGTGGCTCGACTCCATTAAAGACTTTTCCTTAAGTTTGCAGAGCCTGAACCTGGATATCCAAGCCTTAGCATGCCTGTCAGCACTGAGCATGATCACAGGTGAGCACCCCCTGCTGTCGCCCCAAGCCACCGTGTCCCCCTTGCTCTCCTCTCCTGGGTTAAGGTGGATTTGGCTGTCACACACACCAGAAAATTAGGAAAGTGACTGTCACTTTTCTGAAATTTGCTGAGCTTAACCTCATTTAACCAAAGAGACATACATCTGCAACTTACTGCCATGAACTTCCAGGAAAGAGGGTTCCTAGTCTGTTGAATTATTGTTGTCAACAAACCAATGCATGAAAATCTAAATTTCCACAGGAGCTCTGTGGACAGTTGGACTGCTTCAGGGTTATTTTTACAGGGGGTTTTGAAGGAAGTTGACCTCAACCTCCTGTTCCTGTGGGGCAGAGGGGCAAGACTTCCCCTCTCCCCAGTTCCTGGCTAGTGAGCCAAAGTAAGACCACAGAACTGCGCTCATAGAAAACATGTCGTTGTTTATTTAAATACAGCTTCATTTAACAACTTTGATTGGCAGAGAACTGAGAAAAATGGATGTTTGTGAAAAGCAAAAATGGCTCAACTCAACAACTTCTAAAAATTAAGAACCAGAAGCCTAAAACATATTCAACTTCTATATCATGCCTTTCTCCCCCTAGATGTCTCTCCCTTTCTATCTTTTGGGAGATAAAGGATCCCAAGGCAGAATGAAAGAGAAAGAGAAAGAGAAAGAGAAAGGCATGTTGGGTAAGAGAGGGCATGCCATCTCCAGTAGCTGCACTAACTCCCTTTGCCCCTCCCCACATTCAGAGTTTCCTGTTCCATCTCATCCTTCTCGGTCAGAATGAGGCCTGGTGAGTCTGTGACAGCAGGGGGAGGCCCCAGAAGAGGCAAACCAGACCTGGGGCTCACCTCCCATCCTTTTCATCAGACCAAGCACAGGCTAGGCTGTTGGACTGAGAATTAAGTTTCAGCTTTGATATGCTCTTGGCTGTAGAAAACATGTTTTTCAGGCAGGTAATGAGTTTTGCAGGGGACCAAATGCCTCCTTTTGTGCAGCCAGACCCTTCTTTCTGATGCATCAGAAATGTGGATTGTTTACATGCACCTTCTTGGGACATCTTCTGTTAGCTAAAAGGAGATGTGTCTGAGTGCTTCAGAGGTCAGGCTGGTTCATTGTTTAATGGTTTACATCGCAAAGAAAAGTAAATGGCGTGTGCTACGGTAGGAATCAGACACCAGCATGTTCCCTCCGTATTCCTAGGGGAACCTCACTCCTCCTGATCTTTGGTCCAGGAGGAGAAACTCCCGTCTTTTGATGGGACTGCCAGAGACTTCCAGGAGCCATTAACAAAACAAAAACAAAGGCAGTGTCCACGAGTAGGATTCAATTTAGAGGGCTTTCAAATGGCTTATGGGAGCACCTGAAGAAAATAAGCACATTTAAGGCAGAGGCATGTTACCCCAGCAGGACTACAGTGAAACTGGTACAAAGGCTACCTTTCAACTACAGCTCTTCAGCTTAATTTCAAAACCACTCCGCTCTTTCTAGGCCAGTTACACATTCAAAACTAGAAAGTAATGAGGTTAGTTAATTTAAAAAAACAGAAACAAAAACTAGAGCCAGCTTCGGCTTTCGGTAAATAAAACCAGTACATTGCTGCATTTCCACGGAAATGGGTGTTGAGGCTAGTTAATCAGCAAGGGCTCACTGATCTAGGCACTCTGCTGCATGTCAGTGGGTTTTCAGAGATGATACACGCATCCCCGGAGGAGATAGAAAATGCAAACTAAAGCATGTGGGGCCAGGTGTGGAATGCCGTGGTGGGGATCTGGAAGTGGGTACGGAGTGCCGAGAGACTGAAGGTGGGGTGGTCTTCTCAAAACAGGCAACATGAGTTGGTCCTTGATAAAAGCATAGGATGTCTCCAGGCTAAAATGGAAGGAGTGAGAATTCTAGGCAAAAATAAAAATTTGCTAAGGCCATTGAACATATGGTGGTTGTAAGTTTCAGGAAGTAAATGGCTAAAAAAATGGCCGGATGAGAAATGAGACTGATGTGATAGGTAAGGGTGGAGCAGGGCTTGAGAACCCTTCCCACCTAGGTGAGGAGCTGGGAGCTTATCTTGAGAGCAGTGGGATCCAGAGACAGTTTTGACCAGGGGAGCATCCTGGCCAGGCTGGCATTTTAGTAAGATCTACCCTGACAGATGGTTTCGAGTGCAGATTTTAGCAGGAAAGAGACTAAGAGGAAAAAGTCCAGTCTGGGTGTGAGAGCTGTGGTTTAGGAGGAGGGGGGCTCTGAGGCTGATATCTTTTTTCGTTTTTAAGTAAAAGTTAATAGACAACTCTGGCACGACGACATGTGGGTGCCAGCAGTCCCAGCCTGGAGAGATTGGCAGTTCAGTGCCGAGAATATGTAGTAGGAATTAGGAGAAGGTGGTGCCAGTCTGGTCTCTGCCTTCAATTTGCTGTGTGTCCTGCAGTTATTGCTCCTCAGCCTGCTGCCCATTACGTGGAGACTGGCTCAGGGAGCAGGCAGTTTGGCATGACAGAAAAGGCATGGACTTTGGAATCCAGCACCCCCAGGCTTTAATCTGGGGTCCCATATTTGATAAGTATGTTCTCTTGAGTAATGCATTTCATTTCTTTGAACTTCAGTTTCCTCATCTGTAAAATGGGCATAATAACATCTATTCTGGAGGCGGCAGTGAGGATTACAGAAAATTAAGTTTGTCATGTAGCCAAACTGGATTCAGATTTGGCACTGAATCCACCTACATTCCATCCTGAAGGGATGGTGACAGGGACACCCTCAAATTAGGCACATGCCTGCCCCTTCCCCTTGGTAACCCTAGGTAGTCCAAAATCAAACTCAGCGGCATGAGGAAACAGGTGGTGGCTTTAGAAGGCAGTATGTTTGGTGAATATCTCCTTGGATGCTTGAGAGAGAGGCTCAAAGAAGGACAATGAGATTAAGGAATTAAGCTGCCCTTAGGAACACTTGTAATGGGCCAGCTCCTTTATGGGGTTGTTTCAGTTCCTGCCTCCAGTCCTGCCAGCCTGTGCAGAGCAGGTTGTTATAGGCGTCGTGGTTCTAACCCATAAGCCCCTCATCTCTCATTTCTGGACCCCACAGTACTCTCTTTGTGATTTGCTTTTGGGAGGGGATTTGAAATGTGCGAAAGCATCAGGAAACGGCAGAAAAGGCGATGCCTGGGAAACAGCAGCATCCATTGCTGTGGATATTACTTCTCATTTGAATATGCTCTCATGAAATCTTGACTTCTGAGTAAGCTCCAGTGATCATACAAAGTGATTGTGGAATATCAGTTGGGCCATTGGCAGCAGAAAATTCATCCCCAAGTTGTCTGCTCCTAAACCTCATGCAAAGGAAATGAGGTCTTAGAAGTTTAGCCAGTCTTGCTTCCAGGAAAATTAGTAAGAATCTGGACAGTATTGGTGGTTTGCACAAACATGCCTTGTTCTCTAATTCTTTTTTTTCTTCTTCCTCTAGCTCTCTCTATGTGCCCTCATGAAAAACTAGGTAGAGAGGTAGGGCAGGAAATGGTTTCTTTCAGATCTCTCTCCTTTCCTACAGTCAAAGGGACTTCCCCACAGTTGTGGTTGTCGAATGTTGAGTCCCCAGTTCATCTGCCCTAACTATTCCCTTTTGTCAGTGCCACATCCTTGACTCAGGAGTAATGGAAATGCTTTGCTTCTGATGGATTACCCATGATATCTAGCAGCAGTTAATTATGTTTAATAAATAAGAAACCCCCAAATAGAAAGTTAGTGTGGAATTACCATTTTGTAAGTATCCGTTCATTCAGTAAATATTGAGGGCCTACTCTATGTCACGCACAGTGGCAGTCCCTAATGCAAAGATGAGCATGTGTGAATTCTGCTGTCAGAAAGTATATAATCTCTGAGGAGGTCATATATGATAATGATGTAATGAACTCGACGTGTGGTGGTTAGCACTCAGGTGCTTAAAAGGGATAGATTCAGTGCAGGGGAAGTCCAGATTACTGCTAGCATTTTTGGGGTAAAGAAAAATGGAGGTGCTGGTCATGAATGGCTTCCCAAGGAGGTGGCATCTAGACATGAGAAGATACAAAGGAAGGACATTCCAGATCAAGGAAACAGCATAGCAAGGGCATGGCAGTGGAACACGTCAGTGCTTTCTAGGGAAAAGCAGGTCCCGTGGAGTTGCACTATACATGTGTTAAATCACACATATAATCTCAAGAAAAAGAAGAGAAAAATTAAAAGAGTGTGCAGGCTGTTACACTCAATGACTGTTCTGGAGTGAGCATGAGAGAGAAGACAGGAATCCACTGTGGGTCATGGCCTCTCTGCTTCTGGTGGTGGATCCTTAGATCATGTCCCGGACTTTGGGGAAATTCGAAGGATTTTCAGGGAAAAAACTTATTCTATGTGATATTTGTCTTATGGCCTGGTGTTATGACCTAATCTCAGAGTAAAATACATTTCCCACATGGTAAAAAGGTAAATAAGATTGGAAAGGTTTTGGATCAGATGGTGGAGGGACTCTCGAGTGCCCAAATGACATTTTGCGGATCACTCACTACCTTAAAAGAATGTTTCGCGTGGCTTTCTTTTGCCTACTCAGGTTTTCTGTAAGGTGAGAAGGTGACTCCTTTCTCTTCCACCTGTGGTCCTTTTCCTGATCTTATGGGAGCATGAATTCTAAGACTGAGGAGGAGGAAGGAAGGAAGGCAGACCCAGGGCAGAAAGCAATGAAACAGTGATGTAGCAGGACCAGGCAGGTGGCTGATCCTGCCACACCATCCACCACCTGTCTTCCTAGAGCTCCCTTCGTCTCTCTAAATGGTTACCTGGTTACCCTGTTTTGTATCATATATAGCGATCAGCTACATTGCAAGGAAATATAAGTATAAAACCTGGCAGGGCAATATACTTCTTTGAAAAGGCATGGGGGTTGGGGGGCGGCGGTTGTTATAAGATTTGGAAGTTGGAGATCTGAGTTCAGGTCTTCACTCTGACTTTTCCTAGCTATGCAATCTTCAGCAAGT